AACCTTAACAGTGAGCTCGCTTGAAGAAGAGGGAACTTCCCAAGCTAGCATCATATCAAAATTTAGGCGACGAAAGCTTTTGTCAGAAAGATACCCTGCAACTTGTGAGGCATGTGCAAGTGCCCTCAAACAACAATATTCCAAAAAATTTCTTGCATAATTTCTTGGCTGCTTTATGGAATCAGATGCTTGCATATCAAAGTCATACTGCAGCTCATCCGTGGAAGTACCAAGTACCCTGAAATGTAATTAACACAAAAGGCAAATGTTCAGCACCTAATGAAAGCAAAACTGGTATTACATAAGTTTGTGCATGAAAAGGGAATTGATTTTACATGACATAGCGATTTGGAAAAACTAATATTACACAACTATGCCAATTGGCTTAACAGAACAGTAGCAAATGCAAACAACATCATATTGGTTCCATGAAGCATAGGATGCTCATCAACATGTTTCCAATCAAGCTAATAAAAGAATTGCAGGTCATTCTGAAAGGACATAAACTATATTAGCTCACACAAGTTATTCATTTACCAACATCCCTTAAAGAAAACCCACCTTAGGGACATATTAAACAGCTATGGTTTTGATTCTATATTAAAATTCCCTCGGAACAAGTACAATGGACGCAACGAACTACATTGCACACAGCAGTTGACGTTTGGACTTTGGACATCATAAACCAAACCCATTTCAGATCCAACACGAACTCATAGGCCCTAGAGCACATCCTGAGCACTACATACTCTAATAATCGATCTTCAAACATATGCAAAGTAATATTGGTTGCTGATAAAGCCACCGAACAGCCACTTAATTGCAGAATTTCGAAGAATTGTCACATCCAACGCAGTAACCTAGTAGTATATCAGAAAGAAAATGCTTCCCCAGAGCATTTCCCATCCCTAGAAACCCAACCCAAGAAATCCCAATTTTCAGTAGAATCTAGGCAATTGCGTGTGTAGGGAGGCCATTACCGGGAGCAGCGAGAGACGACGGCGTTGGCCTTGGGGGAGAGGCCGGAGATGGAGGGCTGCTTGCCGGAGGAGGAGGAGGAGGAGCTGTCGGGGTCATCGGCGTCGTCCACCGGCGAAGCCCCGCGGCGGGGGAGGGCCCAGCTGAAGGAGCCCTCCCGCACGAGGCCCTCGAACCCCTCCATCAGCAGATCCCGCGTCCGGTTCATCATCGCCATCCTCACCTCACCTCACCTCACCTTACCTCAACAGGGGTCGGTTGAATGGTGGAGCGCCGGATCAGTTGCCAAGCAAGAGAACTGGAGAAGGCGCCGCGCCAAGCCACCAAGCCGGCAACCCGCAACCGGCGAGGCGGCGACCCGAGGAGTCGCTCCGTCGCGGCCCCCGGCTTGGCGGCTTGGACGGTGGGGACGGAGCGGACGGCGGCGGGGACGGTGGGGAGGCGCGGCGCCGGCGTGGACAGCAGGGAGCACTGGAGGCGCGCCTGGTGGTGGTGGACTGGACTCCCTCCAACCCTAGATGTTTCTTGGCTGTGGCTATTTGGGGTGGAGGGTTCTCTAGCCCAAATTCTGGGGTATTCCCCTTGGCTACGCCTCCAGATGGCAAAGATGCAAGAAGAAAACCGTACCTCCGATGGCTCTCGCATCGCGTCTCGTCTCGACCCCCTAGCCCACAATGAAATATTGGGAGCAGCGTCCTTTGCAGTCTGCAGCACGAAATGGGTTGGTGTCACACCTTAATGGCACGGCGGACATCAGGGAATTAGGGCAGCTACAATACATGAAGAGGAACATAAAGTAGATAAAAGAGAAGAGGCATAATGCCTAGAGTCGTTTCCTGATAAAGAAAGCATAAAGTAGAAAAGGTAGAAAATGACATGTGGATCATATGAGTTGGTGAACTGTGATGTATTTATAACCTCCAGGCTGTATGGTGGAAATTAATTATGAAATGAAAAGAAAAAATCCTCCCCAATCTGCTTTGTCTTCTTCCTCTGTCTCCCTCTATGTCTCTCTCCTCTGTTTTACTCTATCCTACTGATTCCAACTAGTCTCGCCGCCGGCGTTGGGTTGTGACAAGTTGGTATCAACCACTTTCGGTCTTGGGGTTCTTCTCCACCGTATGTGGGCTAGTGCTGGTAATTCTCTTGCTTGAGTTGGTGCTTTTCCTTTGGATTGTGCCGTAAATCCCCTGCTCGGGTTCAGTCGTGCTCGGTGGCATTCCACCACGGTATCGGCGAAGTAGAGTGTCCAAGCCCGACAAGTGGTCTACGTTACCTAGATACGCCGTTCAGTCCATGTATCCGTATCGGATACGGCGCCGGATACGGATACGTATCGGATACGCCCCGATACGTATCCCGTACGTATCCCCCCATTTTACTATTTCCAAATAAATAAAAGAATTCCTGATACGTCTCCGATACGTACAAACCCTAAATCAGACGATCAAAACCCCCCAGCCGCATTGAGCGAACCAAATCCCACACCCCAGCGCCACCTCCCCCAACCCAGTCCCAACCTCTGCTTGCTCTCCTGCGTGGCTGCGTCGTCGCCGGCTCGCTGCGTCGGCGCCGCCGCTGTCCACCGTCGTCGGGCTGCATCTCTGCCGCCCTCAGCTGCAGCAGCCGCAGCGCCGCGCCTCCGCCATCCGCCGTCGTCTCCGCTGGGCGCAGCCGCAGCGCCGCGCCTCCGTCGTCAGCCGTCGTCTCCGAGGGCGCAACGTCGCCGCCGTCGGTAAATCTCCTATTTAGGATTCCATGTTTGGCACTAAAATTACTTGGACAGCCAACATCATCATCATGTGCTGAAAGAAATTGGAGCACCTATGGTTTGATCCATAGTTCAATAAGAAATAAGTTCTGTTCCTTCCTTACTTGATTTCTTGTATATTAGTAATGCTTGAAACTGATTACAATTGCAATATTGTAGGCTTAACCCTGCACGTGCTGAGGATTTAGTGTTTGTGCACCAGAATTTGCGTCTTCTTTCTAGGAAATCTGAAGAGTACCATAGTGGCCCATCAACTATGTGGGATGTTGCAGGAGATAGCTTTGAGTTATTTGATGGTGGTGCTAATTTTCTTTAGCACGCTGGACTGTCACCTGATGAGCCTATTCTTGAGATATTGCTAGAAGATCTTGGTGCATTGGACATACAAGACGATAATGGGGCTTCAACCACTTCAGTTACAATGGAAGAAAGCAACAATTGATTTTATCCAACTATCTAGTTATTGAGTTGAATTTGAAGTCCTAAATAACTCTGTTCTTATTAGCTCTATGATGAGTTGATGCTATCTACTATCTCTGTGAACTGGCTGTGATGTGATGTGTGAAACTATGTATGTCGATGAACTATTAATTTATGATTCGTGTACTATTTGTAATCCTGCACTTATATATGCACTGGTTTAGCCTTATATTGTTCTTACTTTGGTAAGATACTGGAATATGATGGTTGGTGGCATGATATTGACAATGGCATGCTCTGTTCTGCTAATGGTCTAGTTTACTCTTCAATTTTTTTTGTATTTTTAATTTATATATATATATATATACGCGTATCCCTGTATCCTTGTTTTTGGGAAGATGGCGTATCGCCGTATCGTGTATCCGTATCCGTATCGTCGTATCTAGGTAATGTAGAAGTGGTTGCCGCGATGGAGTCCATGGAGGAGCGCTTGATGGACGACATGAAAGCTGTTGCGGCCAAGGTCCACGGCGTGGACGACATCACCAAGCACCTCGCGTAGATCAACCTCAAGTTAGCGCAGTAGGGCGAGCGCTAGGATCACGTGCAGACCAAGGTTGATTGCTCCATGACTTCCCTCGGCCAAGTGCAGCAAGAGTAGACGCAAGTAGCTCGCGCCTTGAAGGCCGCAGTGGTTGCGTCTCCACCATCCCCATCCACTCCGCGTCAGCAAACTGATCTTACCGACTCCAGACTCGACATCGGCGGCTTCTTCCTCACAGCCTCCACCACCTCTACCGTCGCCGCCACCTCGTACACCCCAACGTCAGGTATCTCATCATGATCCTCAATTGGATGTTTCGCATACGGCTGACTTGGGGCATCACCACTGGACTACTAAAATGGATTTTTCCTATGTTTGATGGTACCGGGGTTCGTATGTGGATTGATAATTGTAAGACGTATTTCTCCTTCTATTAAATTACTGAGGGTTTTATGGTCTCTGCGGCTGCACTAAATTTAATTGGGTAAGCTGCTAATTGGTACCAGGCGTGGAAACTTGAGGTGGGGTGGCATGACTTGCCTATATAAAAATCAACAACCTCTGGTGAATTTGATGTGTATTTGCGCAGTGTTAAGATGGATGAATTGTTGTTGTTGACCCAAACTGGTACTGTGAATGAATACCGCTCTAAATTCAATGAGTTGGTCTATCAAATTCGACTCGACTGTATGATCCCCTGCTTTGTGGTTTAGTTCTAATTAATCACTTTATTTTGGGTCTGAAAGATGAATTGCTTTCGTTTGTCCAAGCTGATCAGCCTACTTCTGTTACTCAAGCTTATTTGTGGCTATATATACATGCACAAAATCACTCTCCTCACATCAAATCAGCAAGATCGTAGCACACTTTGCCAAACGATGAATTTTTTTTTTATAATATGAAACGGAGAAACGGAGGAAGTATGATCTTATGAAAACACTTTGCTAAACGATGAATTTTTTTCAACGGTTTTTGCTAGAAATTCGGCTACACAATTTGTGTTGGATTTCCTCGTCACTGGTCATTCTGGGGAGTAGTTTATAAATGGCAAGAAAGTCTGTTCTACAAGGAACAGATCTGGAATTGCCTGGTTGTACTACTTCTCTAAGCTCATTGCGAGATTATTGCCAGGAAGGCCTGACGTGCAAGTATATATATGCAGTTTTTACCTTTCTTTTAGGCTTTAGATGTATACTTAAACTTCTATTAATATATAACGCCAATCGATATTAATCTAACAGCTATCAATCTGTTTGGCCGTTCGAATCAGTTGTTAATACAAACACAAATACAACACTATAACATGGGATTATATTAGGAGAGAGACAAATACAATACGTTTCACCGGAGACCAGCCAAGTTGAGAAAGCAGTGGCAGGCTGTATCAGGAGACGCCATAGCCATACAGTATTTTTCTTGGAGCATCATTATTGCTACAAATCATCATGTGATCGCAGCAAACAAGTACAATACCACTGACCTTACATGCAAGGCAAGATGCAATTGTTTCTACTCACCTTCACGTCATAGCAGAAAGCACCAAACAAGATCACTGAACACTCTACTGTAACCAGCAGATGTAGCCGACAGGCGAAAGAGAGTGATTTTCTTCAATGGGATGGCAAACTAATTCGTGATCCTTTGCCATTTCATATCGACCGAATAAATGCCGGTAGGTCATTCGCGTACGGGCTCCAGTGTTTGATATGAAACTGAACAGAGGTCATGCCACTGCTAACAAAGAAATCTTGCACAGTGATGACCTGGGGATCATTCTCCGAGCATATCACTTCAACAGTATTAAGGTGCTCGCATGTAAACGATATTTCCGTAAGCTCGCCAATGATTCTTCGACTTATTCTCATATTACTCTACAGCAACAAAAACAGGTGATCTATATCCCGATGTGAAAACTCTTGTGTAAAAAGCAATCAAGTAGGATCAGTGCACATTTGGACGAAAGCATTTACCTTTTCGAGTTTCAGAGTTAGCTTCTGTAGTCTAGGTGAGTTCTGAAGGAAGACAATTAGGGCATAGAAGTTTGAATCCAGGCACCATTGACCAAGAGTCAGGTTGACAACATTGAGGAATTCCGGGCACCATTGCAAATGGTTTTCGATTGTCAACTTCGAAAGATTCAAATGAATATAATCAGAAAATATGGCAACTAAATTGAGAGCATTAACAATATGTGATAAAGAATTCTATTTGGAGTGCATGTATAATAGCTTCAACTTTAGGATAACGGATGGTAAAAGACCACAGGAGAAACTGAAATTATGTCAACAAAAGACCAGACTAAACAATATTATACATGTTCATATTTTCAATGCGAGTCTCAGGCATGTTAACTTACTGCTAGGATACTTTCCATGCAAGTCATGTAACAAAAACTAGTAAAAAGAACAGTACAAATATTTCATGATGAAGCACTAGAAGTGAGATTTTCAACTAATCCTGAAGCACTTTCTGTTTGCATATTGCCTTCGAATGTCTCTTAATTTTCAAATTTATGTAGCATAAATGCATAATGTCTGTGCGTTGCATCATATCCCAATTCAACATACTGTCTAAAATATAAAATGCAATAAATAATTAATCCGGAAACCAACGATTTCATGCATGATTACACAATACCAAATGGCCGCATATGCAATTGCAATATTGTTTTCTATAAATATCTTAGAAATAAAATGCATACATGTCTGCAGCCAAGAAAAATCTGGACTAGGGTTGGGTCTAGAACCTACAATCACCAGCTCACCGCTAACCCCCTCTTTCAAAAAGTAAGGTAAGATGTGAACTGATGTCAACTAAAATAATCAGTCAGATGTCAAACAAGATGCACATTTGGTTGGCAGCCCTGATATTGCATCCAGACTAGAACATTCTAGTCCTCACATGAGAAATGATCCAGTTTCATTTTGAGATAAAACTACCAACAAAGAAACAGCAGGACAAGTGTTCAACGGATTGATTTGTGTACAAAAAATGGCTGGAGTGGATGAACTATATTGCATTGAGTGGTTGATAACATCAGTGGTCATCGTATCAACACATCATGATTTCACGACAAAATGATCACTTGAATCATGGGTGTGTTTGGATAATGGGAAATGAAGGGTGGGATTGGGATTAGGAAATGAATGAAGGGTTAGGATTAAATGGAAGAGGGAGAATAAATGGTTAGGATTTAAAGATACCTTTTGATAGTTGGGAAATCATTTCCCTATCCCATTATCCAAACAATGCCCATAAGTTTTGCAGGTACAGGTAATTAAACAATTGCAATTATGAAGTAGCAAGAAGAAACAACACCATGCTTAACTTTAAGTTTTTCAAATTGACACCTAAATAAAGATGCATACTATGTAATAGAAATATGCATACCTTTGAACCCTGATAGTTGAACTCTAAATTTGTAATACCGGAAAGGCTCTGGAGATACTGGCCGAGATCATTAGCATCAAAACGAAATCTAAAACTAGACATTGTAACTGATACTGATACTGATGCAGTCACTACTGATGCCGTGTCCTTTAGTATAGGTGTGAAACCCTCGGGAGTAGATATGGTCAGAGAAGTAACACTTGGAAGAGAAATAGATGTCTTGTTCAGCAAGGTGAATTCAACAGTGTCCATCGGCATGTAGAAAAAAACACTATCGAAGGTCAAAACCTTCAGTGTATGGGAGGAGATTTCGTCATCGTGAACGCCGCATTGATGTAAGAAGAGATCTTCCAATGCTGGACAGCCAGCTTCAAGTTGTGCGAAGAAACCCTTGCATAAAACAATACCGGAGAACGCAATTCTTCTCAGGTAGCAGGAAGTAAACACCGAGTGGTCCAGCTCAAATAAGCAGCAGAACACGACAACCTCTAAAACCCGGGCCTGCTTCTGCAAAGCGTGGCTAATCCACCCGTAGGCATCTTCATTGGAATTCGTGTTTCCTTCTGGTCTGGTGGTGTACCTAAGCCAGAAGGTGTCTATCATGGCGGTGGGATCGCGGAGCTCCAGCAGACGGTTAACAAACCTTTTGAACGCCAGCACGTCATCATAGTCCTCGTCGTCCCCTTGGTAAAAGACGAGATCAAACTCATCGAAGTCAGCGTTGATGCAAGGCACGGTACGCCAGAGGTTGCGCCACCGCCGCGACAGCACACAGGTTCGCACGGCCTGGCGCGCGTCTAGGAAGGACATGATGTGGTGGAGGACCTCCTCGGGGAGGTCACCGAGCCAGTCCCTGCCGGCGTCGTCCTCCACTGGGGGCAGAGCGCGCGGTGGCATTTCGTCGAACAGCTGGTGCGCGTGCGGATGGGGGAAGCTGCACAGTAACGGAACAATAAACCATGAATCCCCAGCTCTCAACTCCAAGCAAGATTCAAGATCTTAGCGCAAGAAACGATGCTACATTGAGCGGCAATACAGCATTGTTTGGTGAAGAACATCCATCCAGAGAGGAATGGTGATTCAAGAAAGATTGGGTGAAGCCATTACCTCCAAATGGAGTGAGCGAGGTATGCTTCCTTTCGCCCCGGACGGGACGGCGGCTAACGAGTCAGGCCGGCCACCGGCAAGCGGACCCGGTGCTCCTCGCGCTCGCGTCTGAAGAGCGCCACCATGGAACTATGGAAGGGGAAGGGGGGAGATTGGGAGGAGGCCTCCCGCTCTCAAACTGTCCGTGACAAGGAGTAATACGCGAGATCTCGCGCGTTTTCAGTTTTCCGCTTCTCTCGTAACTCGCGCATCCGCGCTGCTACAGTAACTCGCGCGCACGGCGCCATGCCACACGCAGACGCGCCCCTCCCCTCGCTTAGCGCTAAACGCGATTAGATTAGCATAAGCGTGATTATTTATAGCAAAATAACGAACAGACTGGTTGAATTAAAATTTTAAAAGATGAACTGAGAGTTTTAAATTTGGACTTGAAAGTTTAAAAAAATGGATATGGTTTTTTAAAATTTTGAGTTGAAAGTTTTCAAATTTGATTTGAAAGTTTTGAATTTTTAACTTTAAAGTTTTCAAATTAGATTTGAAAGTTTTCAAATTTTGATTTGCAAGTTTTCAATTTTGAGTTGAATTTTTTCAAATCTTAAATTGAAAGTTTCAAATCTTAGTTGAAAGTTTTCAAATCTTAATCGAAATTTTCAAATTTTCAGTTGAAAATTTCTAAATTTGAGTTAGAACTTTTCAATTTTATGTTAGAAGTTTTTAAATTTTGAGTCAAAAATTTTCAAAATAAAATGAAGTTGAAACTTAGCCTGATAGCACACGGGAAAAAATAATCTTGCAAAAAAAAAAGGAAAAAATTGCGCGAGAAAAAGAAAAAAAATCACGAGAGACAAAAAGTTGCACGGGAAAACGACGGAAGGAGAGGAAATCACTCGAAAAAGAGAAAAAAAATGCTAACAACTGCAGTGTAGGGTAGGGTGAGCCTAGTAGATCCGAGTTAGTTTGCTCGCGCATCTGCGCGAGATAGGATTCCTGCTTGAAAACACCATCCCCAAGTTGGTTCAAGCAAGTTTTATCCACGTCATCTTCTCATAAATTTAAAAATAACCTATACAATATATTACCTCTATTACACTAACCTCAACGCATTTGTCACCAATTAACTTCTCTATTTCACTCTCATTTCTTTCTTCTCTCCTCTCCTCCATATTACCATTTAAGCTTGATTGGTATCTTATGACTAGTATTTAGAAATTTTATAGTACTTGCTCAAATACCATGTGTTCCTTTTTGCTTTTAGCGATTTGATATGAAGTTATGCAATTAGGTTGGAACTTATTTTTTAACATTTTGAAAATTTGAGTAAAATAATAAACCTATGATCAAACTATTACAAGACTATATATTTATTCAAGATGATATATAATAAAACTACATGTTTAATATTAAATTTATCACGTGACTACTAATTTAAAGTGAAGTATTACATAACTATAGATTTAGATTTAGTAATTGTCGATCCCCGATTTTGGAAATCGGAAATCTTCTGTGTTTATCAGTACCAATCCCTGGATCAGTAGTTGGTACACACAGCCGAATCACAACATATCACGAATGAATTCAGGCTAAAAGAGTTATATGCTTACATTAGGGCCAGGCAGGCCGATAACTATCAGAGAACAACAGCGAAAGACAAAATAATACAAGGGCCCGGTTAACATGCCACAAGCAGTCGACTGGGAACGAGACCTAGAATGGAACCACACTCCGATCATCTTGTTAGGTACGCAAGCGTACTAACAAGGGCTTCTCTTCAACACTCTGCTAAAAGATATATATAGAGCAACAATGAGTACAAAAGTACTCAGCAAGCCACCACAAAAAAATGCAGTAATGTACAGGATAATACAAGGAGTGGTTATGGTTACTTTGCGTAAAGCTGAGTTTTCAAATATCATTTCACAAACCTAAGACCTAGCATAAACTGGTCAAGTTTTAATTCCATTGTTCATTAAACAGCGACGGTTCTGTCCACCATCCATTGTGTTCCCAAGGATAGCTTCCCGCCACTAGTCGTCATGGTTTTCTGGGGTCTACCTCTTCTCGCCTCTCGAGAAGTTGTTCCACCAGTACAAAATCATCATGCAACATCCCACCCATCATTTTAAGAATTTAGAGTCTAGCCAAGTGTAATACATGTCCCGGTGCTCAATAACCGTGAGCACGGCTATTCGAATAGATTGGTTTACTCACACTGCAGTGGAAGTACACTTTACCCATACTCCGTGACTGCCCAACACATGAGCCTCATCCCAACACATGAGACGCGTCATGGCAAAGCCTTTCAATAACCTCACTTTGGCAGTACCCGCTCCATGAACTTTAGTCCTCATGCACTCTAGGCGTCCAAGGTTTCTAGCAGTGAGAGGAGTTCTGGCTCTCCCGGGAAGGGAAGACTCACACATGCATTAAGTTATAGTTAAGTTTAGGTTTACATATGGCAGTCCTACCGATGGCGACACCACTGTAGGCACCTGCCCCTCGTGGTCCTACCAATGGCTGCCCCACCGTACGCCCTGCCTCACACACATCAAGAAAACCACTATGCAGGGATACTACCTCCGCTCGGCTATTTACTCTGCTAGGTCTATACCCATACGAGAAGTACGGTTGTACGGGGGTCGTTTCATGCTTAGCTTCATGGCTCGGTCCTTAACTAACCAGGGACGGCACTAGCCTTTTCCGGACACCACCCAAGTCCTCCAGCCGCCCTAGTCGAAAACATTTGTTCAGTTTTCATTTTCTTTCACAAATCATCTCATCAATGTCATGGCAATGTGGCACTCATGTCTCCACATGCCGTATCTCAACTACCTCCCCAAGGTAGTTTCCCAAGCATAAAGCATTTGATAAATATGAGAATGCATGAATCTAAATTAGCATTACTAAGCATTTGTCATAAGTGACTAGGGACTCATACATAATTATGGGTACAGGGGAATAATGAGATAAGCAATAATCAAAGGCATGGCATAACAACAAGTAGGATATTCATCACTGCATGCAATTTTATTTGTAAACAAAACAATTTCACAATTGGGATCAACATGCTCAGGGAATGGGGTGATGACTTGCCTGCTTAGGATAGTTCTTATTCTTGATATAATATTGATCAACGTTCACCTCCTGGAAGCTGCATACGTTGCCTCACGACTAATCGATACACCAATACTATAATACGCGAGAAAAATCAATGTTCAAACAACAATCCAATGTGCGCAAACAAAATATAATTGTTGAGGTCGAACCTAGGGTTGCTCATACTACTTGCGTTTGCTAATGGATTCTAATCAAGCTAAGAGCTAAGGTTTCTTAGTCTTTCTGATGTCATGGTGGTTTAGTCTAGCTAATGGCTATGGAAGGATTATGTCTACACATGCATCTATCTAAATAAAATGGTCATATACTAGAGGTTCCGTTGTTGGATAGATTTAGGATCAATCAAATAATTACAGTGAATCATTTATATTATTATTTTACCAATGGGGCATTATTTTAATCACGATCATATTTTACTTGTCATTATAAATTATAAAAGGGTTAATAATCATCCATGCTCTATATAGATCTGTGAGGTTATAGGTACAGATTATTTGTCTACGTGGCCTCGTAACGAGGTCTAGATTTATAATTAGTGTTTTTATCTAACTTTGATGTTTATCAAACAATTCATAGTTTAATAGGTGCAACAGTAGGTGATTGACTTACTGTGTATGTGTTAAATGGATGTACTGTACATGCAAGTCCAATAATATGTTAATTGGATTATTTACCGAACATGAGTTATTTATTGTTCTGTTAAATAATATGTTAAATAATAGGTGTCAACCAAATTATAAATATACTACTATATAGGATATTGCACTGGTTAAATCTATCATTCGATTGATTTCATCACACCCAGCTCTGTTATTATTTCTCATAAACAAGTTAAAGATTTATCTATGAGTATTAATATTTTAGTTACAAAATATGAAGCTAAACTTTATGTAACTAATTTTTAAGTCATGAATTTAATTATATGGCCATCGAATATTAAATAAGCACTAGTATTTTCCTATACATCCATTCATTTGAGACATCACTTATACTTAGATTATGTGGTTGCTACAGTGACAAAACATGTTAAATATATTTATTTGACATCTACTCTACTGTACAATATCAATTTTATTTATTAGCACATTTTTAAGTTGACCATAATCTAATCATTTGATATTAATATATTTTATTAAATAATGAGTTATATACCATTGGAAAGCTTATGAATTTAGATGAATTTAGGTTCAAGTTTCACTCGAATCGGAGCTAAAATGAATAAGTTATACTAATTTAAAGATTCAAATTTGAGTTAATCCGAGAAATTGTAAAAATGCACTGTTCATAAATGATTTATTTTTAATCGGAAACATTATCCAAAACCCAGTGTGGTTGACATGTGGGACCGGCATGGTTGACTTAGGGTCAAACTTGCTTGTTTAATTACCATTGGGTCCCGCCTGTCATAGGAACAAAATATATAATTGTGTTTTCTTAGATTTTAACTATAGGGACCCCACCTGCCATTGAGTGGGATAATCACCGTTAGGGATAGGATTACTGTGCGCTAATCACATGTGGGTCCCACACGGTTTCTCTCTCTCCTCATCTTCTTCTTCCTCTCGCCCGTTACCGAGCGATGCAGAGGCGCGGCTCGGCGCAGTCGGCGTGGCCGGCCCGAGCCGGGACGGCGGCGGGCGGCTCGGCGACGGCCGGGGTGAGGCGCGGAGGAGCTCCGGCAATCTCCCGCCAATGGCAGCCGGCGCGCGAGGAGACGGGGGCGCGCGGCGCCATCAGGCGACGCCATGCCCGAGCTCGGCTACAAGGGGCTTCGGTGCTAGGGACATCCTCCGGCCGAATTGAAGGGTGCGGGAGCATCTACGGGGTATGGGGATTCGATTTCACGAACTATATGGAGAGGGGAGCTCCCGGGATAGCCTACCCACGGAGAGCTCGCCGGCGACGAAACGGCGGCCGGGGCGGCACGGCCATGGGCGCTAATCGCCGATTTTGGAGCCGGCGCTAGCAATTAGATGTATGGAGGACGCTACAGGCGCGAGGGTGTACCGCGAGACGGCGAGATGGCGAAACGCGGCGAAGTGGAGCTCGACGCGGTGCAGGACAGGGGCAGACGGCGGCGACGTAAGGTGCTCGACGGCGTTTCTGGATGTCCAGCGGCTACCCGGCTTCCCCCATGGCGACGGCGGCAGCACGGCTCTTCCTCCACTCCGTCCAACCTCCAGCTCCGGCCGGGGAGCCTCACAATGGTGATCTCTAGCGGTGGTGAGAGGGTGATCGCAAGGTGTTCGATGAAATGCATACGAGAAGAAGGCTGAGAGGTATGGGGATTTTGTTGAGGGCTTCGCTTAGGATGCAAGCAAACTATGGGGATAAGATCACCAGCACATGCCTAGGCGAGCTAGAGTACTAATGGTGATCGGATAAGAGCAATGAGGTGGATGACGCGGCTGAGATTCATCTCCTTCTCCATTAAGGTTCTGTGGCTTAATCATCACACATATAACCTATAGACTGCAGGTCTGGGCGCTAGCTGGAGGAGAGGGCTCCGTTTTATCCATTGGGCGTGGATGGGGGCGATGGGACGCACGTGTCTGGGTGATGAAGGCAGGCGTGGCGACGGCGACGCGCGTACATGGGCGATGGCGCAGCTCCGTGTTTCCTGGAGAGAATCCAGGAGAGCGGTTAGAGGTGCGGCTTGGCGTGGCGCGGGCCCTGGCACGACGCGGCACGGAAGGGACGACGCTGGCGCGGGCGTGGGTCCGGCACGATGCGACGCACGGCGCGATACAACGCGATGCGGTTGCGGAGCAGCAAGTGCGGTGCGGCTAGGGTTGGGGTCGGACGTGGCTGAGGGGAAGGAGGCGCGGTTGCGGTGCGGCACGGGCGTGACTGGCGTGGCCGGAAGCGATGTGGTGCACGCGGTAGACGGGATCGAACGGTTGGCGGACAGTGAATAGTGGCAGCTGAGAAAAGAGAGAAAAGGAAGAAAAAGGGAAAGGAAGGAAAGGGAGGGGCTAATTTGCAAAAGTGAATGGGATTGAATTTGAATTGAAATGTAATCAATATATTTTGGTTTTGAGAATTCAAATGTTTGATTTGAATATTTATTTGGTTATTCATTAGTTCCCAAATGAATTTGCTTTCCATTAAATTATCCAAAAATTATCCAATATAACCTATAAGCTTTGATATTTCTTAAAAACTAATTAAATATTCTAATGTGACCTTAATAATACAATAGCACATTGGTCGAGTTTATTTGTATAACAATGTATTTTACAAGGACATGTTTAATCTATTATTCCATAAAAGTAAATTGATACTTGGTACAATATTGACCTAAATGTTTAATTAAACACTCACATAAACATATTTTATGTATAAAGTTCAATTTATTTGCATGACAAATTATTTTACATGAGTGAATCCATCCCATGAGAGACTCGATGAAAGTTATAAATATTAATTTAATTATTCTAGTGGAACACTCCTATATATATAAAATCATTGTAGTGGCGACTACTTCGTGGTTACTTAGATGTCATGACACTTGTCGACATGGTTCAAGTATTTAACATAAAATTTGTAATTATTAATAATTGACTTGTGTTTTATTTGGCTTGCTATCATGTACACAAATATTTATAGGATTAATAATAATTATCTTATTCTAATTACTTCTTAGTTGTACGGCTTTAGCTTAATCTTCAATCGTGACAATTTATAGTTTGGCAAGCAATAGCAACCATAACATCCAGCATGATGCAAAAGTTTTAAAAAGTTCGAAATTTTAGTGATTTTTATTATTAGGGATTTTCAGGATGTTATAGTAATAAAATTATAATAAAACTAGAAGTTTAGCACCAATTTAATTTAGATGTTTCTAGCTCAAACATAACATTGGGCTAAGGATTTAAACATAAAATGTATAGTTTTTGCGACAAATTTATTATTAAATATGTGGTTTTGCAATACTTAGCGTTAAAAATCTGTAGCTTTGTGATAAAATTGGTGTTAAATATGTAACTTTATGATATAACACTTTAAATTTGTAGTTTTATGATAGTTTGGTCAAAATATTTGTAGTGAAATTTACTCTAGAAATTAATATGATCATCCAAAATTACACATGACGCATTTCAACTATTTTTGAATTGTCACTGAAAGAATCAAGATCTTGATTCCACAATAGTGGCATCACTAGTAGATTCTATAATTTTCCGTGACCGGGGAAAGGGGGGTGGGGGGGGGGGGATAATTAATTTTATTGGGAGCGGGAACAAAACCACCAAGATTATATTGAACCGCAATTACAACTAACATATTCTTCAATATGTGTTGAAACTCAAACAAAAACATTATATCTTTATAAATAATTATTGGGAGCAGGAACAAAACCACCAAGATTATATTGAACTGCAATTTCAACTGACGTTTAACGTATTCTTCAATGCGTGTTGAACTCAAACATAATATTATATCTTTATAAATAATCATGTGCGGGCCTCTACCTGAGTTGGTTAGGTGGCTCTAGTAGCACTCCTCATTTCCTGGGTTCGACTCCCCGTAGGAACAAATTTCAAGCTGGGGTTACAACTTACAAAACCCCCTCGTTTGTCCCACGCCAAAGTATACGTCTAAGGCCCAGCCAAGGCCGTTGGTTGTTCTCATATGGGTTACAGTACCACTGTGTAAGGGTGGGATAGGGGTTCAGGGTTTTGTCGACCTACATGAGAAGGTTTTCTTCTATGCAAAATGTCCAGGTTGTCTTACCCTCACAGGTCGAGTTATTTTATATATGTTCTCTGAACTTCTCTTTGATCACAAATATGTTTTGTGCTGCCGAATAACGAGTTAGCAAGGAAGAGGATCGAGTGGTAGCAGTCACCAAGTGTATTTGTTTTTGTCCTCTTTGTTTACTGTCTAAAAGGACTGTGTATTTGTTTTTGGCTTCTCTGTTTACTCTCTAATGATCTTGTCTTCTCTTTAGTCCGAAAGATGGGCTTTCCAGTGTACTAAGTGTAGTATGCAGTGGATAATTGTCTCCATTGGAAGAAATAGGAACTAATTTTCACTTCTTTTTCAGCAGTGAATTGTATGAATATATTGTGCTTGTTTTATTATCCTTTTAATGATATAATTATGGATAGCAAGGACCTGATAAATCACATTGTCATACCTCATCCTGAATATTATATATTTTCATGTCATCATGTCTAGCGAGTAATTTCACAGTTGATTCTTTGTTTCTCTCTAAATTAAACCAGGTCAACATTTATTTGGTCTGAATAGTTTTTTAGTGTAAAATGCCATCAGGAGTACAATTATGCTTGCGAAAAATATAAAGGGCACCCGTCTAAAACAATTTTAGAAACCAGTCTACACAAAAAAAAAACTATAAAGGGCTAGAAGGTTCGGTGTTCTACATGAGACTGCAATTCGAACAATGATCTGGACAACAATCATGCTTAGGCTCAGTCAGTTTGGCAGTATTAAATTTGAATTGTAGCTGCCGCGCAGATCAATTGTCGATTAAGATTAAAAAAAAATCAACCTTGACTCTCATCATTCATTCTTGTCACTGTCATGAAAAACATATATGTTTTTTATGGTATTATCTAATTGCAGATGAAATGAATGAACCATACATGTGTCAAGCTGAATATAGCACAAAATATTGTTATTTTTCTCTGGGTACTAAACTTTTAGCACCATGAGAAAAAAATGCAGTATGAACCATGAAACTATTAAAAGGTGACATATCTCTTGTTTGTATAGAACTAGAAAAATGTTTCCGTTGCAACGCATGGGCACTCAGTTAGTATTGAATAAAAGCAGGTAACTTATACTCCTCGTCTTTTCTCCAGTGTTTGATATGAAACTGAACGGATGTCATACCACTACGAACAAAGAAATCTTCAACACCGATGACCTGGGGATCATTCTCCAAGCATATCACTTCAACAATCTTAAGGTGCTCACATGTAAATGATCTTTCTTCAAGCTCACCAATGATTCTTTGTGGTGTTGTCCAACGATCCTATAGCAAACAAAACAGGTAAAGCTTTATTCTTGATGATATGCGTGCTTGTGAAAAATCTTTCAAGCAGGAACAATATACATTTGGAGGAAAGCAGTTACCTTCGCGAGTTTCAGAGTTAGCTTCACTAGCCTCGGTGAGTTCTGAAGGAATACAATTAGTGCATGGAAGTTTGCATCCAGGCACCATTCACCAAGAGTCAGGTTGACAACATCGACAAATTCCGGACACCATTGCGAATTGTTTGCAATCATCAGCTGCAAAAGATTTAAATGATTATACACTTCCATAATCACCAAACTTGCCCAACTAAGAGCACTAATGTCTCTTAATTTTCTGTTTGTACATTGCCTTGGAATGTCTCTTAATTTTCAAATTAATGCTAGCATAGTGTCCGTGCATTGTAACACATCCCAATTAACTATACTATAAAATATAAATGCAATAAACAATTAATCCTGAAATCTAAAATATGCATGAATATACAAGACCAAATGATCACCTATACAAATGAAATATATTCGCCGGGCACAAATGAAAATTTTCTCTATAAACATCTTACAAAACAACATGCATGTTTGCAGCTACAAAATGTCTGGACTCGGGGTGAGTGTACAACCTACAATCACCCCCAATCCCCTCTTTCAAAAAGTAAGATAAGATTATTTGTACTGATTTCAACTTAAACAATCAACCAGATATCGGAGAAGATGCATATTTGGTTGGCAACCCTGATATTGCACCCAGACTAGAACATTTGAGTCCTTGCATGAGAAATGATCTAGTTTCCTTTCGAGATCAAACTACCAACTAATAAACTTTCAAGACAGTGGGTCGATTTATGTTCAAAAAATGACCAGAGTACATGAATTGTATTGCCTTGTGGTTGATAACATTAACATCAGTTATCTTGTCGATACATAATTATTTCACGGCATAAGAATTAGCTATGAACGGTAGTTCTGCAGGTACAGGTAGTTAAAGTATAGCAATAATGAAGTGTCAAGAAGAACCAGCATTCTTAAGTTTCAGTTTTCACATTGGTACCTAAATAAACATGCATTGGTATACTATGTAATTATTAGCAATAAGCATACCTCTGCACCCTCATAATGGAACTCCAGATTTCTAACAGCAGAAAGGCCCCAGAGATACTGGCGGAGGTCATTAGCATCATAATAACCGTCGAAGTTTAATGCATCAAATGTAACCGATACTGATGCAGTCACTAGTAATGGCATGTCCTTTAGTACAGCTTTGGGATACTCAAGACCAGACAAGGTCAGAGAAGTAAGATTTGGAGTAGAAATAGACATCTCCTTCACCGTGTATAATTCAGTTGCATCGACGGTCAAAACCTTCAGTGTCTGGGAGGAGATCTCACCATCCCAAATGAAGCATTGATGTAATAAGAGATCTTCCAGTAATGGACAGCCCGTCTCAATTTGCTCGAAGAAACCTTTGCGTAAGTACACATGGGAGAACTCAATTCTTCTCAGGTAGAATGAAGTAAACACTGAGTGATCAAGATCCAATGGGAAGAAGAACACGGCAACCTCTAGAATCCTGGCCTGCTTCTGCAAAGCATGGCCAATCCACCTGTTAGCTTCTTCATTAGAAGCCTTGTATCCATCCAATCTGTCCGGCATGGCGTATTTGAGCAAGAATGTGTCTATCACGGAGGCAGGATCACGGAACTCCAGCAGCCGGTTAACAAACCTCTTGAACGGCACCACGGGCCCTTGGTATCCGATGGAATCAAACTCAACGAAGTCGGCGTTGATGCACGGCACGGTGTGCCAGAGGTTGCGCCACCGCCGCGACAGCACGCACGTCTGCACGGCCTGGCGCGCGTTCAGGAAGGACATGATGCGGTGGAGGATTTCATCGGGGAGGTCGCTGAGCCTGTCCCTGCCGGCGGCGTCCTCCATTGGCGGCCGAGCACGCAGGGGCATTTCGTCGAACAGGTGGTGCGCGTGGGGAGCTGCACAGTAAGCGTTAGACCAAGAATCAGTAAACCCCAGCTCAACTCTAAGCAAGATTTAAGATCTTAGCGCAAGAAACGATTTTCGATCGAGCAGAAATACAGATCGGTCTGTGAAGAACACCGAGAGAGGAATGATTCAAGAAAGATTGGATGAAAAGAGGGAACCATACCTTGGATTGAATGGTGTTACAACAAACGGGACGGGTTCGTACGTATACCGCCTTACTTCCTAAACATTTTGTTTAGCAAAAAATAAACATATTGTAGAAGGAGATTTGGATCAACCATAACTTTCATTGATCAATGGAGCTTATATTTATACATGTACAACAAGGCTTGGGAGTTGCCTGGGCCTAACTAATCCCCTGATCTAAGGGACGTGCAGCGGTGCGAGCGGAGCGAGGAGCGCTGCGCGTCGTGCGCGGGGTGCGCGTCGTGCGCGTGGAGCGCGCCGCGAGAGTCTGACGAAGCCGTTCGCCAACACCCCCCCGCAGTCGCAGCCGTCGTATCACCGACGCAGAGACTGGCTCGGAACTCGTTGAACATGCTTGAAGGAAGCCCTTTTGTGAACACATCCGCGAACTGATGGGCACTCGGTATCGGTAGGACGCGGAGTTCACCGAGCGCGACCTTCTCCCTGACGAAGTGGATGTCGAGCTCGATGTGTTTGGTCCGCTTGTGGTGCACCGGATTCTTGGACATGTAGACGCTGGAGATGTTGTCACAGTAAGCGATCGTCGCCTGTGGAACGCGGCAGTGGAGTTCACCGAGCAGCTGGCGCAACCAAGTGCACTCCGCCACCGCGTTCGCCACACCTCTGTACTCGGCTTCCGCACTTGACCTCGAGACGGTCGTCTGCCGCTTGGACGACCAGGAGATGAGGGAGTCGCCGAGGAAGATGCAAAAGCCGGACGTGGAACGCCGGGTGTCGGGGCAGCCGGCCCAATCTGCGTCGCTGAAGGCGGTGAGCGTCGGCGACGTCGAGGCGCGAAGGTGTAAGCCAAACGCGGCCGTTCCCTTGATGTAGCGCAGGATCCGCTTCAGCAGGGTGACGTGAGCTTCGCGCGGAGCATGCATGTGCAAGCACACCTGCTGGACGGCGTAGGCGATGTCGGGCCGCGTCAAGGTCAGGTACTGGAGAGCGCCGGCAATGCTGCGGTACCAGGAGGAGTCCTGGAAGAGAGGCCCCTCGTCGCTTGACAGCTTGGGTTTAGCGTCCGCCGGAGTGGCCACGGCCTTGCAGTTCGCCATGCCTGCACGTTCGAGGACATCGGTGGCGTACTTGGACTGGCTGAGGACGAACCCGTCGGCAGTGCGCTGAACTTCGATGCCGAGGAAGTACTTCAGGGGCCCCATGTCCTTGACCTTGAACTCCGCTTGAAGGCGATCGATGATGCGCTGCAGCAAGCTCGACGAGGACGCGGAGAGGATCATGTCGTCGACGTAGAGGAGGAGGTAGGCCGTGTCGGAGCCACGGCGCAGCACGAACAGGGAGGGGTCGGCGCGGGACTGGACGAAGCCGAGGCTGGTTGCATGATCGGCGAAGCGCTTGAACCAAGCGCGCGGGGCTTGACGAAGACCGTACAGCGAACGGGAGAGGAGGCACACGTCCGCCGGGCGAGCAGCATCCTCAAAGCCTGTGGGCTGCTGGCACAGGACACGTTCCTGAAGATGGCCGTGCAGGAACGCGTTTGAAACATCCAGTTGATGCGCCGGCCATTGCTTGGAGGAAATCAGCGTCAGCACGGTGCGAATGGTCGCTGGTTTGACGACGGGCGAGAATGTCTCGCCAAAGTCGACGCCCGGGCGCTGGTTAAACCCGCGAACCACCCAACGTGCCTTGTACTTGTCGAGTGAGCCGTCAGCATGAAGCTTGGTCTTGAAGACCCACTTGCCGGTGATGATCCGAGCACCGGGAGGCCGGGGAACCAGAGTCCACGTCCTGTTCGCGAGCAGGGCGTCGAACTCAGCCTGCATCGCCGCGCGCCAGTTGGGATCCCGGAGCGCCACGCGAACAGACGAAGGTGTCGGCGACAGGGTCGACGTGGCAGTCATGGCGTACCGCGGGTTGGGTTTGCTGATCCCAGCCCGCGCACGCGTCGTCATGGCGTGTCGAGGTGGAGAGGCGGACGCTGGCGACGACGTCTCGGGTGATGGAGGCGGCGCGACGTCGTGGGCCGGAGCAGCACTGCTGGGCGTGGACGACGCGGGCGACGGAGGCGATGCGGCGTCGTGAGCTGGGGCGGTGCCGACAGGTGTGACGACGTGCTGTGCTGGAGCAGGCAGCAGCACAATAGTGTCATCGCCGTGGTCCGGTGGCGGAGGAGCTGACGGGCGAGGCGATGGCGCGTCGCGGAAGGGGAACACGTCCTCGACGAACGTGACGTGGCGCGACGTGAACACCCGGCGGGAGACCATGTCGTAGCAGCGATAACCACGATGGTCAGCCGGGTAGCCGATGAAGACGCACGCCAGGGATCGCGGGCTGAGCTTGTGCGGCGCTGTCGCGATGGTGTTGGGGTAGCAGAGGCAGCCGAACACGCGAAGATGATCGTACGTCGGGGGAGCGCCGAGCAGCAACTGGTACGGCTTGAGGGAGCCCGTGGCGCGGCATGGCCGTCGGTTGATCAGATGCATCGCCGTCTGCAAGGCTTCAGCCCAAAAAGACAAAGGAGCAGCGCTGTGAACAAGCATTGTGCGCACGCAGTCATTGATCGTCCGGAGGATACGTTCCGCCTTGCCATTCTGTTGAGAGGAATAGGGGCAGGAGAGGCGAAGAACAGCTCCGTGGAGAGACAGGAGTGAGCGAAGTGCATAAGAATCGTATTCCTTGCCATTGTCAGTTTGCAGAGCTAAAACGGGGAGCCCGAACTGTGTGTGTGCATAAGCAAAGAAGGAACGAACAGTATGAAACACCTCAGATTTATTGCGAACAGGAAAGGTCCAAATATAGTGTGTAAAATCATCAAGAAATACCACATAATACTTGTAACCGGAATTGCTATAAATGGGAGAGGTCCAAACATCTGTATGCACTAACTGAAAGGGAAATAGAGTCTGACTAGATGAAGAGTGGAAAGGAAGCCGCACATTCGTGCCTACATGACAAGCAGAACAGTGATGGGGGGCTGATTTATTACATTGGAAATCAAAGGAACCAAGAACCTTGGACAGGGAAGCAGAGCCAGGGTGCCCGAGCCGCAGATGCCAATGCTCCACCGACGGCGAGGAAGTCGCAGAGAGGGCGTGTGGCGATGGCAGACGCAGGGGGTACAGGTCACCCGGGCTGTCACAGCGGAGCTTCACCACCTGAGTTTGAAGATCCTTGATGGAGAAACCAGTTGGATCAAATTCAATGGAGACATTATTATCACGAGTTAGCTTTTTCACAGAGATCAAATTCTTAATCAAGGGAGGAGAAACAAGCACGTTATGAAGGTGTAGATCAGTGGAGGATGTGGGAATGTGGGTGGAAGCTGTATGCGTGACAGGCAGCTTGGCACCATTGCCGACAGTGATACAAGAGGAGAAAGGAAGAGGACGGGGATGAGCAAGAATACCAGGGGTGGAGGACATATGTGCTGACGCACCGGTGTCGAGGAACCAATCCGCAGCGCTCGGAGGAGTGGTGGTGGCGACGCCGGCGGACTGCAAGGCGCTGTAGAGCGCACTGTTGTCCCAGGCGCCGGTGGAGTGAACTCCTGGAGATGCCGGAGGAAGAGCCGGAAGCAGGTGCTGCGCGGTCATGGCCTGTTGGGCCTGGAACGGCGGGCGAGGGCCCAACACACCCGCGCCGGGAGCCCGGAACGGGAAAGGCCAGGCCTGGACAAAGCCTGTCCAGGGGTTGTAGCCCCAAGGCGCAGGAGGGCGAGGCTGGCCGTCGTGCCCGGCACCAGCGCCGCCGCCAGGAGTCGAAGGAGCGCCGCCAGGTGGGGCGCCGCCGCCCCGGCCACGACGCTTGCCCCGTCCCTTGGGACGAGGCTGGCCGGTGGTGTCGGAGGTGCCGGAGGAAGACCCGGTGCCGGCGTAGAGGGCCTCCCCGGCTTCAGCCTTGGCGTCGTGCTGCATCTGGAGCTCCGCCAGCAGCAGGTAGGAGCGCGCGGTCATGAAAGTGTGTGGCGGATTCCGGTCGGCGATGCTGGCGCGGAGGGAGCGGAACTTGGTGTTGAGGCCGCGCAGGAGGTTGAGCACCTGGCTGGGCTCAGACACGGGCATGTTGATGTCACGGAGGCCGTCGGCGAGTTGCTTCAGCTTGGCGGTGTACTGCGTGATGGTCATGTCACCTTGATTGATCGAGCGGAACTCGGTCTCAAGGTAGACAGACCGTTGGACGGCGTTGTCGCGGAAGACGCCTTCGATGTCGCTCCACACGGTGAAGGCAGAGGCGCGGGGCTTGTAGACGACGTCGAAGACGTTCTTGGCGATGGAGTTGTGCAGCCAATTGACCACGCAGTGATCCGCACGGCGCCACTCGGCAGTGCGGAGGTCGAGAGCGGGCGGCTCCTGAACATGGGCCTCAAGGCCGAACTTGCCGAGGACCGATTCGAAGCTGCAGCGCCACTGGCTGTAGTTGGAGACGTCGAGATCGAGGACGACCGGGACGTGGGAGCGGATGTTGACGGTTTGAAGAACAGAGGTGGAAGGCGCCGGCACAGGCTCTTCGTCAGAGGTGGACGAGGCGTCGGAAGCGCCGGAGCTGTGCGACATGGCTAGCAAGGGAGAGGTAGCGGAAGACTAAGATCAGAGGGTCACTGATACCATGTAGAAGGAGATTTGGATCAACCGTAACTTTCATTGATCAATGGAGCTTATATTTATACATGTACAACAAGGCTTGGGAGTTGCCTGGGCCTAACTAATCCCCTGATCTAAGGGACGTGCAGCGGTGCGAGCGGAGCGAGGAGCGCTGCGCGTCGTGCGCGGGGTGCGCGTCGTGCGCGTGGAGCGCGCCGCGAGAGTCTGACGAAGCCGTTCGCCAACACATATGAAGAAGAAAAGATTCCTTTTTAGTAGTCATCTCATTTCTAATTGCTAAATGTTTATTTGACATTTACCTAAAAAAACAAATGTTTATTTGACAGAAAATTAGGGAAAAAAAACTTGCAAATTTCAAACCTTAAGATTTGCTTTGTTATTTGTGATCCGGCGACTTTGACCCCATGTCCTTCTTCTCTAGATCTGGTGACCCTTTCTCCTCCAACTCCAGCGAAGATCCAACGATCGACCACAATCCAACAAGTTAGGGTTTAGGGTCTAAGGTTGGTGTGGGAGATGAGAGTAGGGTGAGGGAAGAGGGCGGGTATTGTCGGGCTTAGATGGATATATCTAGAAGGTGATGGCCCGGTGGTGGGTGGTGGATACAAGCGAGCGACGAGGTGCCGGTTGGTGGTGGTGGTAGATCCAGAGACTAGAAGCCACAGGAGATGGGGAAGATAGCAAGGCGGGACCACCTCACCACCATCGGCTTGAGGAGAAAGAGAAGGGTGGAGGAGGAGAGTGGAGGGGGAGGAGGCCGGCGAGAGAGAGGACCTCGCTGGTGCCGTCGCCGCTTTTCGTCAAGCCGATGAGGCCGGGCGGCAGCGTTGTGGGTCGGCGGCAGCACAGGAGCATAGTCACGAGGAGAAGTTGAGAATGGGGGGCTTGTGCGGCGGCGGGGATGGAATAAAAAAGAGGAAAGAAAAAGAGGTGATGGAAATTAGGGTTGGGAGATTTGCTCGAATCTTAAAGCAATCAAACGACCCAAAATTTGCAACATATTAGGGTTTTCTTTTTCTGTCAAGCGGAGATTAGACAGTCCTTTGACACATGTTGAATTTTAAATTGCTTCTAAACACACATGATTTGTTGAAAATGGTTGGATTTCGTGTGCATTGAAATCAATGTCTTGGAAATATATACGTATACTTAATTATATACTACTTTAAGACACCCTCCTTGTGGTGATGGTGATCTACACATTTCTAATTTCACCCGCCTATGCTGCTGTTGCACGTGGCAGAGACCAAAAATCAGTAAACCATGAATCCTAGCTCAACTCCAAGCAAGATTCATGATCTTAGCCTACGTTGGCTTTCAGTAAAAAGCCGGGTATTTGACCTGTTTTCTAAAAAAAAAGATTCATGATCTTAGCACAAGAAATACAAATTGATCAGCGGAATGATTCAAGAAACGTTTGGTGAAAAGAGGGGAGCCATACCTCCAATGGTGCTCGCGTCTTCTCTCGAGTGCACTACGGGACGAGTGGTTTGTTTGCTTCCTTTAACCTGGACTGAGCGGCGACGGTGGACACCACCGGCGACGAGAGGATCCGGTGGTCCTCGCATTGGTAGTGTGCCACCATTGGAATGGAGAAGAAGATTGGGGATTTTTATGAAAAACAATTTGAACTTTTTTAGTTTCTGATTTTTAAAATAAACATTTTCAAGCGAAATTTTTATATATAATAATTATTTACCGTGAAATTAAATAAGTACTCCCTCCGTTTTAGGTTATAATACGTATAATATTTACATTATCAAACTAGTTTTATTAAATTAATAATTAAATATATTTTTATGATAAATTTATCTTGAGTCAAAAATATTACTATTTTTTCTATATAATTGGTCAAACTTAAAACATTTTGACTTTGTATTTTGGGACGTTGAGCTTAACAGAGTCCGCCTAGGACGCTATCAGCCAGAGCGTCCTTCTTCCTAGTTTTCTAAATATATGTTTTTATTTACTATTTCCTCCGTTTGTCCTAGGCGGACTATGTTAAGCTCAGCGTCCCAAAATCATAAATTAAAATTATCTAGAAATAATGTGGTCCGGGGGCTTCAAAATCAAACCGAGCTTGTATACTTATTGAGTACAGTTCCTCATCATATCCAAGTCCCCGAAAGATCTCATTTCTCATATCTTTGAATGTGGTAGTGTCATATGCTGGAAGTGTTATTTTTAGAGGAATACTATATTCTGCACCCATAGCTCCATATTGGATTCTTCTACCCACATACACAAGAACAATAATCATGTTTTCATCTGCTATACCTGCAAATAGGAAGCACATATGCAATTCAATCAATTCAATGAGTATGAAGATCTATATAGTAGGGGTTGTTTGGTTGGTTGCCACATATTGCTACGCCACACTTTTATGCACAATTTTTTAGGTATGTGTTTGTTTCGCTATCGCAATTGTGTCATAACACACTTTCTTAGCCTTAGACCCACATGTCATACTCTTAAAGTTGGAGCTAAGCATGTCATACTCTCAAAGTTGGAGCTAAGCATGCCACACTTGTAGCCAACTATTTTTAAGCCACACTTTTTTTTAAACCATTTTTAAACCACACTTATGCCACCATGCCTCAACTAGCCTAAACTTAGTTATGGCAAGGTTAGACATCAAGCAAACATTCCCTTAATGTATTAATCGAGGCCTCTGCCATGTAAGTACTACTCCATATTACGTAATAACTTTCCTAGCAAACTGGTCCAATGTAAATAATCTATATCTGCCTGTTATATTAATAATAATCCATTATTTTCAGATTAAACTGGTCCAATGTAAATAATATATATCTGCATCATCTATTTAAAGCTATATATGATCAAGGACGAAGCAATCATATTCTACCCCTGTTTCGGATTATAAGACTTTCTAGCATTGTGTTTTAAACTCATAATGCTAGAAAGTCTTATAATATGAAACGGAGGAAGGATAAAAGAATCGAATAATCTAGTGAAGTGGTTTGCATAGTAATCAGACCAACAACAAGACACATTACCTGCATATCAAGACGTAGAAAGACTTTTTACATAACCAACCGTTGAGAGATACAGATGTGTAGACGTCAATGGTATATGCAATCCATCTGGTTTTCGATCCGGACACTTGTTGACTCTCGAGCGTGCAGCCGCATCCGCATGCGCTAGGGTTTTGCCGGCCGCCGGCGACGATCCAAACGGAGCCTTCAGCTTTGCGCTCAGTGCGGGCCGGGCAACGGCGGTGAGCCGGCGAGGGTGAGCGGCGCCCGCGACGGCGTCGCTTCTATCCCGGCGTTTTCGGTGGGACAAACGAACTAGTACTTCGGGTGTGTTTCACCTTAAAATTGTAAGTTTGGTTGAAATTGGAACGATGCGATGGAAAAGTTAAAAGTTTATGTGTATAGAAAAGTGTTGATGTGATGGAAAAATTAAAAGTTTGAAGAAAAAATTTAGAACTAAACAATGGCTTCATTTCATTTATATTTGATCAACGGTGGTGACTATAAGAAACATTTAATAAAGAAGCCTGCCTCCCTCCGACTAGACGTACTAATACATCGCTAATCCGACTAGAACTCATTAATTAATGCGACTCTAATTAATCCGACTAGAACTCAGCGTTCTCCCTATATATTTCGCACCGGGCTCGCCTCACCTCACCACGTGATCGACAGTGCGACACACAACGCAAGCAAGGTGTTCGTCCATGGCCGCCTCGTCGTCCTCGTCTATGGCGTCGTCGCAACCGAGGATGATGGAGCAATCGTTGTTCTACACGCAGCCACCGGCGCGGGCCGTGCACACCCGCAAGGTCACGGCGGTGAACCTCCACCGTGAGATGTCGCTCATCCGGTCGCTGATGCCGACCTTCCCCTTCGTCGCCGTCGACACCCAGTTCCCCGGCGTCGTCCACCCCCACCCGAGAGGGGCGGGGGTCACCGCCGACGATCGGTACGCGGCGGTGAGGGCGAACGCCGACGAGCTCTGCCTGCTACAGCTCGGGATCACCCTCTCCGCCGCCGACGGCCGTCTCCCCGTCGACGGCGCCCTCGTCGAGTTCATGTGGGATTTCGACTTTGCCGGTTTCGACGCCCGCTACCACCGCCACGCGCCGGAGTCCGTACAGTTCTTGAGGGCCCAGGGGTTCGACTTCGAGGCCGCGCGGCTCGCCGGCGTGCCCGCCCTCGCGTTCGCTGCGGAGCTCGCCGCCTCCGGCATCCTCGGCCTCCGTGGCGTGACGTGGGTCGCCTTCGGCGGCATGTACGACGTCGCGTTCCTCCTCAGGCTGGCCACCGGCGGCGCGCCGCTGCCGGCGACGAGGCTGGGCTTCCTGGCGCAGGTCGGCGCCGTCTTCGGCACCCAGGTGTTCGACGCCAAGCACATGGCGTCGCTGCTCCACATGCACGGCGGCCTCGCCGCCGTCGGAGGGATGCTCCGGCTGCCGCCGCAGCTGCCTCGCCGCCACATGGCCGGGCAGAACAGCGTCATGGCGATCCAGCTCTTCATGGAGCTGAGGAGAAGGTTCAATGACCTGGGAGGCAGCCTTCACAGCTGCTCGCTCAAGATCGAAGGCCTGACTTGAAGATATTTTTCAAGTATATGAAATTATAATTATTTGGTTGATGTAGTTTATTAGATTTTTTCTTTCAGAAAGATTAGAACGCGGGAGCTTATTAGCTTAATGATTCCCCTACTAAATTCTTTTATTGTAATGACATATCTCTTCAGATAATTACTCAAATACAAATTGCACTTCAATACCTTGATGGAAACCATATATTTTTCTGTATGTAGAAAAAATCTAACCGAAAATTATGAAAGGCCTAGCAAGTCCATCCAGTACAAAAATTGGAGCATTGTTTTATTCTGCAGCCCCATCGTTAGGCATATTGGAGGAAAAAACGAAATAACATATTTACAAATAAAAAATAATTTGTGAATAAAACTTTTATATGTGTGGTCTTAACGATCTAAAAGCAAATGCTGAAAATAAATTACGATGGAAAAGAAAATCCCAAAATCAACTTCAAATTTAAAGATAAAAATTTTAGTTTTAGCTAATAAGAATAAGCATAAGTGAAAAAAATATGAGACTGCTAACGTTTAGAGAGGCCAAATTATTGTCAGCTGAATGTGGGCGATGATGCTTTTTCGTAAGAAAGATAACAGTACGAACAAAAAATGACAGTTTTGTGATGCTTCTTGTTTGCCACAGATATCAAAATTGTTGCAGCTCAATGATATAGATATAACCATGTTCAGTCAAAACCACATAATTCATATCTCACGTGAACAATTACGGAACGAAAGAAGTAGAGCCAGTATAATGGGATTGTATCACGTCAGCAAAACATGAAGGCCAAATAGAGTACCCCGAGCAAACATGTATACGCAGAGCAGTACCGTCTTGGTTTGAGTACAACAGAGAGCAAGTACAAGATGAATGCCCTTAAATGGAACGAAAGACATGATTGTTTGTACTCACGTCATAGACGATAGCACCAAGCTAGACTGGTTGTGTACATTCTTTTGAATGTAGAAGCTAGGTTTTAATTTATTTTCTAACCAAAAACACAAAGCTAGTAATAAACATGTCTATATACTTACGGATTCAACTGGAATCAAAGAATGTCTATACTAATATAAAAAAAAAGGAGAAGTTCACCCCTCCAATCCTACATGCCAAATCACCTCATCTTATCTCATCTATTCATCCGCAAGGTGGAATAATCTCATCCGTGAATATGTTAGGTGAAATCTCCTCTTGACCCCGCGATGACTACGCCGCACTTCCGCCCGCAAATTGTTTTCTTCGACAAAACTGCCGCCTGCCCTCCACCCCACCGGTGGCCGCGCCTTCCTACCACCGGCACCATCGGGCACACCTCCCTTCCCCTGGTGGCTGCGCCTCCCTACCGCCGCCGCGGGCGTCGTCGCCTGCCCCTCAAATTCCGCCGGTGGCTACGCCTCTCTACTGCCGGCGCCGGCGCCGTTGCCTGCCCTCCAACCAGTCCGCGCCTCACCGCCGCCAGCGCTAGGGCTCCACCCCGCACGTGCCTTCCCCACCGCCAGTGCCCTGAGGTGCAGCCGGGAAGAAGCATCCGATGCAGGTAACGGCTTCATTCACTCATGGACAAAAAAATCCAATGGATTGTTCTCAAGACTACAAAAAATTGCAGAAAAATACTCAGCGTATTTACTCAAAAATTAGATTGGTTGGAGGCCTGGCTGACTTCAATGTCAGTGCCAGCACGACTTCATGGATGAGCTCCATGAACTTGACCGCATCTTCTTTGTCTATGAGCCATCAATTCCCTGTATCAGTCCATCATCTAAATTTGTTTGATTCCTGATTTTCCAGGGATTATATGAGCCTGATCTCTTTGTTTCAAACTATCACTCCATCATCTAAATTTTTGTTTTTTTTGTTTGATTCCTGATTTGTCAGGAATTAAGAGCACAAGACAACGAGATGATGGAAAGCAACACTGTCTACTAGATGCAGTTTGTTAACAGTGAGTATTTCTTTGGTGAATTTAGTTTGCACTGAAGAACTGCACATGCAAAGGAGGGATTATTGTCATGTGTCAAGGTTAGGGATTATGGTCACTTTTTTTCTCATATATATGCACTATCGTCTTGTTCTTGCGAACACGGTATCTGCACTGTTCTCATTGAATCTTCTAGCCCATGCAAAACAGAATGTTGGTATATGCCAGACACACTACTATCCATAATTTTGCCATTGTTTATTGGTCAACTTTTTCCATGATTGATAGAATTCAATTCCATATCTTTTTTATCAGCACCAACATTAGCTTCATTCCTTAATTATTTTCTACTTGCATTAGAAAGGGGACTTCAGATCATGTAGGCCAATCCTATACATTGGCTGAGCACTCTCTTCAAAAGGAAGAATGTGATCACAAACAACAATCTGGGCATGACCTTCTACCAATGTATGAATACTAATTGAATATTTGATTTTTTTTCTTCACATACACTAATTGAAATACTACTAGCAAGAGAGCTATATATAATACAGTAAGGTGGTTGTTCATCACAAATGAAAGTCAAGGATGGTTATTTAGCAAAATTATTTCTGCGTTGATCTGGCCCTTCATATTTCTACTGCTTATACTGTATAAATGGCAATTTTTACATGATTTTATTAACTATATTATTGCTGTACCTAGAAGTTATACTTGTTATATTGTAATGCGATTCATTTGTGAATGACAGAAATTACGAAATATGGAAACTGTTGTTTGATGTTTTCTCATATAGAGCCATATGCCAATTATTGTCTATCCAAGCGCATGTTGTTAATTCATTCTAAGAATTATTCCTTCTGCCTGGCCATTCTGATCTTTTCTTACTATATTGAGATACAGGCACATCACGCCTCTATTGCAAAATTGTGTCTATGTGTGTTTTTAATCAGTCCATCTTTTGCCAAATTGAGATACAAGCGTTTTATTTGACCTTTTCCCACTTGCAGCCATCCAACTAGCTAACAACGACAGCACATTTTGGTACCTCTTTTTGGCTTGCTGCTTGGCAGCTACATTTCGATTTGTTAAAACAAATTCAGCTACATTTGGCAGGTAACTCCAAAATATTCTGATTAGGGAGAAAAAGATAGCTAATGCAGTTACTTGTCAACATACCCTCATGTTACTTTATGAAATGCAAGTGCCATGGAAAGGTTATATTCGAAGTTATAGCCATGTATGTGCGTTGTATTTTCTCACATTTATCTTACTTTCATCTGATATACATAAGCACTATATGTTCCTCCACTTATCTGTTTACTATCTCTTTCAACCAGTTTTTCACTAGCAAAGTTCTTTGCAAGTAATTGCTTTGTAATCTGTATTGTGCGTTGTTATGTAAGAAAGGATAAGTGGATGAGAATACAGTTGTATATAGCATAAACACAAGTATCGGGGATTTGATGGATATACTGTTTAGATCATGAACATTTAAGTTTTGAACAGGTTTATTTACAATAGCCGACATATAGTCCCTTAATGTATTATGAAACCCACAAGGAGTTTAATTATGAAATAAGCATCATAAGTTTATATCATATTTTTACTACCACTATTAATATGGTTTGTGCATAATAAAAATGTTCTCTTGCAATATGACGAGTTTGATTTATATTAGTTGGAGAGGATATATCTGGTTTAATTGATATTGGCTTATACGTGCCTTGCACGTGCACGATCACTAGTATCCGAAAGAGAGCGACTTTAAAATGGAATGTCAAACGAATGTAATTGATCGAGTTTCAATAAAGCTTCCATTATATAAAAAAAAAACAAATGCTTGATCCTTTTACTTTTCATATCTCAGACAGGAATTTTCATCCTAGAGCTGGCTGGCTCCAGTGTTCGATATGAACCTGAGCAGAGTTCAATCCCATTTTAACAAAAAAGTTGACAACGCCATTGACCAGGGGATCATCCGCCAAGCATTTGACTTTAACACTTGTAAGGTGCTCACATGTAAATGATCTTTCTTCAAGCTCGCCAATCATTCTTTGTGATGTTTTTCCCCAACGATGCTATATATACCAAGAAAAACAGGTAAGCTATATTCTCCTGATGACATGTGTGCTTGCTAAAAATCTTTCAAGTTGGATCAGTATACATTTAGAGGGAAAGATTTACCTTTTCAAGTTCCAGATTTAGCTTCTCCAGTATTGGTGAGTTCCGAAGAAAAACAATTAATCCATAGAAATTTGCATCCAGACACCATTGACCAAGAGTCAAGCTGACAAGATTGATGAATTTTGGATACCGTTGCAAATTGTTTTCAATTGTCAGCTGCACAATATTGAAATGACTATGTTGCAGAAGGCCATTTATAAACATGATTACCTAAATTAGAAACTTGAAAACAAAATTCAGAGCACTAACATTATGCAATAAGTATTATATTTGCGGTGCAGGTACAACTATAACTTCAACATAGCGGATCATAAAAGACCACTAGAAAAAGAAATTGCGTCAACAAAGAATCAGAATAAACAATGCTACACTTGTTTGGTCTCAATGAATCTCTTTAGCACGTGTGGATTAACAGTCAAGATGCTTCAGATGCAAGTTAATTAGGTAGCTACATCAGCTTAAACACAATGCTATGTCAAAAATTTTAAACACAACGCGAATCTATAGTGAGGTAGCAGCAGGAGTAAGACTTTCAATTGCTGAAGCATATTTATCTTATTTTTCAATTTTATATTTAATAATGTCAATTGAAGTTAAGCAATCACTTAGATTTCTGAAAAGAAGAATTTTCAGTGGCCAACCCAATATTGCAGCCACACAAGAACATGCCAGTTACCAAATGGGAAATGGTCCACTTTCATTGTGAAATCTAACAGCGAACTAAGATAATTCAGGTCTGCTTGACCAAAAGTCTTATTTATGTATAAATGAGCTGAATACAATGAAATAGATTGCATTGGATGGTTGATGGCATCAGTCATGATTTCATGACATAAGAATTGGTTATGCCACGCTTAGTTGTGCCGGTACAGGTAACTAATATAGTGGAATTGTGAAGTGTCAAGAAGAAACAGCGTGCTTAAGTTTTATTATTTTTCATATCAATACCTATATTAAGATGCATGCATATAATAAGGGCAGGGGGGATATATATCTAAGATCAATTGCAATACCTTTTTCCCATCATAATAGAAATGGCAGGTCAAATTTTTAGCAGCAGAAAGGCTCCTGAGATTTTGGCAGAAATCACTAGAGGCTTGTTCGACATGAAGTACCAGCAATGAATTCACTAGTAATGGCATGTTATTGAACACAATTGTGCCGCTCAAAGGCCACCACAAGGAAAAAATGGTAACACTCGGGGTAGAAATAGTAGTCTTGTACTTCCAGGGGAACCAAGTATCAATGATGCTCAAAACCTTCAGTGTCTGAGAGGAGATGTGTCACTATCCACAATGATGCATTCATCTAAGGAGAGATTTTCCAACGATGGGCAGCCTTTCTCGAGTTGCTTGAAGAAACCTTGCTTCATAGCAACACTAACGAAGTTGATTGCTGTGAGGAAGCGGCAAGCAAACGCAGAATAGTGGTTTAGCTCCAGTTTACCAGACAACACAACAATGTCCAGAACTCGGGCATATGCTTCTGCAAAGCGTGGCTAATCCATCTGCTCATATCTTCCGAGTTCCGAGGCCGAGGCACCTTCGATTCTGGTCAATCTGTAGAACTTGAAGCAGAAGGTGCGTATCGACGCGGCGGGGTCGCGTAGCTTCAGCACTTTGTCAAGGAAACTGTTGAACGACAACTCCATCTTTTGATCATACTTGATAAAGCCGGTTTCGTTCCGCCCAAACTCATGGATGTGGATGTTGATGCAGGGCACGGTGCGTCAGAGGTTGCGCCACCGCGACAGCACGCACGTCCGCACGGCCTGGCGCGTGGTCAGGAAGGTCATGATGTGGAGGACGATGTCGTCGGGGAGCGCGCTGAACCAGTCCTTGCCATCGGCGTGCGCCGGAGCCATGGCCGTGAGCCCGTGAGCACACGCGCACGCCCAGAGGCGTTTCGTCGAACAGGTGGCGTGCGTGGAAACTGCACAGTAGAGGAAAAACAAAATCAAAGAATCAAGAAGCCATGAATCCGCGGCTCAACCGTGAGCAAAGATTTGAGACCGCGGCGCTCGAGCAGAGATTGAAGATTGAATCCGTGAAGAACATCGATAGAAGAAAGATGCGAGAAGAGATGGAGTTGAAGGTGATGGGAGGTGTACCTCGAAATCGCGAATGGTGTTGGCGTCTCAAGCGCTCGATTGACTGCTTGTTTTTGTTGGGACGCTGGGTGTATTTGCGGTTTTACTTTAGTCCCTCTGATGGAAGATGGATGGTTCAGATTAACAGAAAATGGAGGAGATTTCCCTTTGGACCGACAACCAACACTTTAGTTCTTTCTTTCTTGCTTGTCTCAGGTAGTTTTGGGTATACTGTCGTGGTTAAATTTTTAACAGTTTCTCCTCAAAATATCGATGAAATTTGGCCGGCTAATCCTTTGTCAACCCGGCAAAAAAAAAACTTTCAAAAGTCTAGAACAACATTATTTTGTGACTATAAGAGGAATGGATACTGTACTCCTATAAGAAACAATATTTATGCTAATGGTGAAACGTCCCATCGTTGGACCATCACGCCTGCAACATATATATGGTGTCATCCCATAGGCATTTGTAGATCACTATGGGTCAATTTGGAGAAGCTTATGGAAATTGCATTTTCCCTAAAATCTTTAGCTGCTAGAAGCTTTCTCAAACAGTTTAGATTTTTATCCAAATTTTGAGAATTTGTAGTTATGGAATCTAGAAAATGAACTAAAAGTCAAAATCTAGGTTGGGTTTCATAGCTTCTCTAGATTCTCACCAGCTGTATATCAAAATCTTAATCTCCACAAACAGGTCTTATGTCTCTCTCACCACCTACTAACTACAACAATGCTACGATCAGTCAGCGGCAGAACCAAAATATTTGCGGGCCTAGGGCTGATTTAACACGTTAGAAATTATATATTTTATTTTTTTTATATAATTTCTAAAAGATTTACATAGAGTTTTGAAGCAAGCATGGTAACTCAAGCCCCTTATAACTAGTGTTTGAGCCAACCTATTAGCTATATGGTCGGCTGGCCCCACAACTATTTCACAAACACCCTTGAGAGTCTTAAAATTTTCATGTGTAAATCCATTAAGATTTGCATAAATGATCCCATTAAAATGTGAAGTATTAATAGTCGGCCCCACATGACAAAAATTCATGGCTCCGCCGTTTGCTATGACAGCTTCGCTGAAAATCTTATCAGCTTGCTACGACAGTTTGCGACATTTTCTTTCAAAGAATACAACGTGTGACGCAGCAGATTCCATAACAATGTGTGCGAGTGTGACAGTTTTCATTTTCATAACAAAGATATAACTGCATTAAAAAAAATAACAGTTTTGTGATGTTTCTTGTTTTCCACTGATATAAAAATTGTTGCAGCTCGTTGATATATAACCATGTTCATTATTTCTAGAACCACCTAAAATTAAGATCTCATGTGAACATTAGAAGCATGGAAGGGGATAGAGCCAGCAGAGTCATAGGAGTGTAACATCATGTCAGTAAAACATAAAGGCCAAATAGAGTACCCAAGCATGTACATGCAGACATGCAGTATCTTCTGTACAACAGAACATCACAGAAGGATGCAAGTACAGGAACCAATACATGATTGCTTCTACTGACATCATAGCACCAAACAAAAGCAGTAAACATGTCTATGTGCTTTCTGACTCAACTGGAATCAACGAATGTAACTGCAAGAGAGCGATTTTTGAATGGAATGTTCAGAGAATGCTTGATCCTTTTTGACGTTTCATATCTCCTCAGACCAGAAAATTGCAGGTCACGCATACTCGATCTAGCACCAGCGTATGATCTGAACCTGAGCAGAGGTCAGTCCACTATTAACAAAGAAGTTGACCACATCTTTGACCAGGGGATCACCCTCCGAGCATACAACTTCGACGCGGGTAAGGTGCTCACATGTAAATGATCTATCTTCAAGCTTGCCAATGATTCTTTCCGGCGTATTCTGATGATATTATAGAAAGAAAACAAATAAGCTACATCCCTGATTGACATGTGTGTTTGTGAAAGATCTCTCGAGAAGGGTCAGTATACATATGGATGAAACGATTTACCTTTTCAAGTTCCAGAGTTAGCTTCTCCAGTTTTGGTGCGTTCTGAAGGAAGACAACCAATCCATAGAAGTTCGCATCCAAACACCATTGACCAAGAGTCAGGCTGACAAGATTGTTGAATTTTGGGTACAATTGCAAATTGTTTTCCATTGTCAGCTGCACGATACTGAAATGATTATGTTGCAACAGAAAACCCTTGCCATGTTATAGACAAAATTTCCAACAAAACATGAAAACACAATCCAGCGCACTAACATTATGCGATAAAAGACCATAATAGCACATGCGATTTAATTGTCAGGATGCTTTTGATGCAATTTAAGTAGCTACGCCAGTCTAAACACAACACAAAAAACTATTGCAAGACTTTCAACAATTGCGGAGACATTTCCATTTGTATGTTGACTTTGAGGTTGTCTTGATTTTCAAATTTATGTGCAGTAATGACAACTGAAATTAGACAAACACTCAGATTTCTCAAAATATGAATATGAATCTTCAGTTGACAACCCAATATTACAGCGAACAAGAACATGTCGAGTTACCAAATGGGAAATGCTCCAGTTTCATTGTGAAATTGAATAGCCAACTTAGATAGTTCATGTCTGCTTGACCCCAACAGCTTGATTTATATACAAATGAACTGACTACACGAAATAGCTAGATTGCATTGATGATTGATGTCATCAGTCATCCTTACAACACATCATGATTTCACGCATAAGAATTAGTTATGCAACGCTTAGTTTTGCCGGTGCTATTGTGAAGTGTCAATAAGAAACACCATGCTTGAGTTTTTCCTTTTTCATATCGACAACTACATTGAGATGCATGGATGTAATAAGGAAAGGGGGATGTGTGAGACCAATAACCATACCTTCCTCCCAAAATAATCGAACTCCAATCTTTTAGCAGCAGAAAGGCTCCTGAGATTTTGGCAGAAATCACTAGAGTCTTGTACATCATAAAGTACTAGAATTGAAGTCACTAGTAATGGCATGTCGTTGAACACATATATGCCGTTCACAGGCCTCCACAACTTCAGATAAGTAACACTCGGGGTCGAAATAGTAGTCCTGAACTTATAGGAGAACTGAGTGCTCTTGATGGTCAAAACCTTCAGTGTCCTGGAGGAGATCTCAACATCCGCAACGATGGATTCATCTAAAAAGAGATTTTCCAATACTGGACAACCCATCTCGAGTTGCTGGAAGAAACCTGGCATCATAAGAACATTGATGAACTTGATTCTTGTGAGGTAGCGGCAGGTAAACGCAGAGTGATCGAGCTTCAATGCGTCATACAGCACGAGAATATCCAGAACCCAGGGCTGCTTCTGCATAGCGTGGGTAATCCATCTGTTCATATCTGCCTCGTCCGAGGTGCCTTCGAATCCGTCCAATCTGCAGCACCTGAACCGGAACGTGCGTATCGGGGCGGCCGGGTTGCGGAGCTCCAGCACCCTATCCATGAACATCTTGAATGCCGACTCCCTCTCTTGATCATACTCTTCCCACTCAGTGTCGCTCCGCTGGAACTCGCCGACGTCGGCGTTGATGCAGGGCACGGAGCGCCAGAGGTTGAGCCACCGCCGCGACAGCACGCACGTCTGCACAGCCTGGCGCGTGGTCAGGAAAGACATGATGTTGAGGATGACGTCGTCCGGGACGTCGCTGAACCAGTCCCCGTCGTCAGTGTGCGCTGGGGCCGTGACCCCCCTCCTCTTGCTAGGCGACCCCTCCATGGCGGCCGAGCACGCGCGCAGAGGCGTTTCGTCGAACAGGTCGCGCGCGTAGAAACTGCACGAGAGAGGAAAACCAAGAATCAAGAACCCAACAACCCGCAGCTCAACTCCCAGCACAAGAATCGAGATCGTAGCACAAGAAACGACGCTCGAGAAGAAATTGATTGGTCAGGGAAGAACATCCAGAGAAGGAGGATCGATGCAAGAAGAGTTGGAAGCCGTACCTCGAAACCGCTCGGGCAGGCGTTTCGTCGAACAGGTGGAGCGCGTGGGAACTGCACAAGACCAAAAGAATCAAGAAGCCATGAATCCACAGCACAACTCCAAGCAAGATTTGAGATCGTAACACAGCAAAGCACACTCGAGGAGAGATTGATCCGTGAAGAACATTCTAGGGGAGGGGATCGATGCATGGAGAGATGGAAGGGAGGAGGGAGCTGTGTGTACCTCGAAATGTCGAATTCGCGATTCGCCTCGCGCGCTCCGGGGAAAGGTTCACTGCTCCCTCGATGGAAACATGGGCGGTTCAGGTTGGATAAATGTGTCTGCCGGAATGAAATACTCTGTCCGGTTAAATAATATGGACTCCGTTTCACAACGCAAGTCATTCTAGCATTTTCCGCATTCAAATTTATTTTAATGAATCTAGACAGATAATAAATCTAGATAGATATATATATCTAGATTCATTAATATCAATATAAATATACGAAATGCTAAAATGACTTACATGGTAAAACGGAGGAAGTCCTTGGAGTAATGTGGTTATAGAATCTAGTCTACTCCATAAGTCCCAAAAAGATCCCTTATAGAACAACGAATCTGAGCTACCATTTATCCAGATTTGTTAGTTTTTTTTGGACGGAGGGAGTATGTAATTCCTCCATTTCATATTACTAAATCATTTTGACTTTGGTCAAAATCAAACTACTCTAAATTTAATTAAGTTTATAAATAAATATAGTAGTATTTATTACACCAAATAAGTTTCATTGAATCTATAATCGAATATATTTTCATGATATAATTGTTTTCGGTTGAAAATGTTAGTATTTTTTTTTACAAATTTGACCAAACTTGAAACATATTTACTTTGATCAAAGTTAAAAATGACTTGTAATCTGAAGTAGAGCGAGTAGTCAATAAATAAATTTTGATCATAATAGTTAGGGTTAATTGGATCCATGCCACTGCAACTTTACCAAATTAAAAACATGCCATTACTATTCGTTGTATAGGCTACATGCCACTGGAAATTTCTAAAATTGAAACCATGCCACTCTTGTCACGTTTTCCGTCTCCTCTCTCATGTCGTTTCTTTTCCTCCAGTTTAATCGTTTCCCCTCATGTTTCCTCTCCTCTCCTCTCCTCTTCTTCTCCTCTCCTCTCTTCCGACCAACCTCCCACCACCACACCGCTCCTCCTCCTCCTGCTGTTGCTGCAACCGTGCTGCCCTCGAGAAACTAAGTCTTTGATCACCGCTGGTAAACAACAAACCAAATAAAAAACCCTTCTTGCGGTGGTTTCTGGGCAGATCTGAGAGAGAACAAAAAGTGATTAGGCAGATCCTTTTCCGATGGCTTCTTCCCCTTCCTTTTCCTCCTCCTCCTCCCCTTCCGCCACCAGTGCCGCGCCGGCGTCCTCCTACTACTGGTGCTACAGCTGTGACCCCTTCGTGCACGCTGCCCCTCACGAAGACTCCATCGTCGCCTGCCCGGACTACGGCGGCGTCATCCTCGAGGAGATGGGTGTGCCCCCACCACGCACCGCCTGCCTTCGCCACCCGCGCGCGCACCACACCAACGACCTGCGCATGTGACGGACACGCTACGCTGCCGCAGCAGCGGCGGCTAGCGACCGCTCGCCATTCAACCCCGTCATCGTGCCTCACCGCTCCCCCGCTGCCGTAGCTGCTGGCGACGACGACGGCGCGGGCTCCGGCCTCCGCCCGCTCCCGGAGACCATGTCGGACTTCCTCATGGGCTATGCCTTCGAGCGTCTCCTCGACTAGCTCACCCAGATCGAAGTCGGCGGCCTCGCCCACATGAGGGAGAACCTACCGGCCTGCAAGGCTTCCATCCCCATGCCGCGGGGCCGTCCACTCACCTAGCTCAATTGTTGGAGAGGAGACAGAAAAAGTGACGGGAGTGGCATGGTTCCAATTTTAGAAATTTTAAGTGGCATGTGACTGATATGACGAATAGTGGTGGTATTTTTTTAATTTGGCAAAGTTGCAGTGGCATAGATCCAATTAACCCTTTAAACAACATCAAATCAAATCTAAAATCAAGTTTGAAAAATTTAAAAATGTAACTTATAAGCATACAAACATAAGTGAAACTAATAGGGTTATATATATATATATATATATATATATATATATATATATATATATATATATATATATATGTCTCCGTTACCACCTAATACTACTACAGTGCTACGACAGCTTCACCCAGAATCTGATAAGCCGATGCCACTGCATCGAATTCTTCAGGTGAAACTGCACCGCCATTACACGAGTATCTGAATCGACGATGTTGGTACCCCATGTTTCTGAAATTTTGGATCAAAGAATACAATGTGTGACACAGATTCCATAACCATGTGTGTGACAGTGGTGTTTCATAACAAATATATAATTGTATGAAAAAATTAACAGTTTTGTGATTTTCTTATTTTCCACTGATACAAAAAATTGTTGCAGCTTGTTGATATATAACCAATTAACCATGCAGGTTACACATCCTTGATCTACATCCGGCGTATGATATGAACCTGAGCAGAGGTCAGTCCACTATTAACAAAGAAGGTGACCACATCTTTGACCAGGGGATCATCCTCCGAGCATACGATTTCAACACGCGTAAGGTGCTCACATGTAAATGATCTATCTTCAATCTTGCCAATGATTCTTTGTGTTTTTTCCTGATAATAATATAGCAACAAAATAAAATAAGCTATATTCTCGATTGACATGTGTTCTTGTGAAAAATCTTTCAAGAAGGATCAGTAGACATTTGTAGGAAAAGATTTACCTTTTCAATCTTTAGAGTTAGCTTCTCCAGTTTTGGTGAAGTCTGAAGGAAGACCATCAATCCATAGAAGTTTGCATCCAGACACCATTGACCAAGAGTCAGTCTGACAAGATTGTTGAATTTTGGGTACAATTGCAAATTGTTTTCCATTGTCAGCTGCACAGTATTGAAATGATCATGTGGCAACAGAGAAAACCTTGCCATGTTATAGACAAAATTCCCACTAAACATGACAACACAATCCAGAGCACTAACACTATGACAATAGAAAGAAATGATGTCAACAAAAAACCAGAGGATTGCAAAACTCAAAGGGACCCTAAACATGACAATGCAATCCAAAGGACTAACATTGTGCCACAACAGAAAGAAATTATTTCAACAAAAAACCAGAATATACGATACTATACTAGTTTGCCTTCACCAAGTCTCTCGATGCAAGTTAGGTAGCTACACTAGTCTTAACAAAATGCAAAAAACTATTATGTGGTAGCAGGAGTAAGACTTTCAACATTTGCTGAGGCATTTCCATTTGTATGTTAACTTTGAGTATGTCTTAATTTTCAAATTTATGTGCAGCAATGTCAATTGAAGTTAGACAATCACTCAGATTTCTGAAAAGATGAATTTTCAGTTGCCAACCCAATATTGCAGCAAACAAGAGCATGTCGAGTTACCAAATGGGAAATGCTCCAGTTTCATTGTGAAATCGAATAGCCAGCTAAGATAGTTCAGGTCTGCTTGACCAACAGGTTGATTTATACACAAATGAACTGACAACATGAAATAAATTACATCGAATGGTTGATGGCATCAGTCATTCTTACAACACATCATGATTTCCCACATAAGAATTCGTCTTAATTTGCCAGTGCAATTCTGAAGTGTCAATAAGAAACAACATGCTTGAGTTTGTTTTCTTTTTTCGTATCAATACGTACATTAAGATGCATGGATATAATAAGGAAAGTGGGATGCGTAAGACCAATAAGCATACCTCTTTCCCAATATAATTGAACTCCAAACTTTTAGCAGCAGAAAGGCTCCTGAGATTTTGGAAGAAATCACCAGAGTCTTGCACATGATAAAGTACCAGTAATGAAGTCACTAGTAATGGCATGTCATTAAACACACAGCTATCCACAGGCCTCCACAACTTCAGATAAGTAACACTCGGGGTCGAAATAGTAGTCTTGTCACTGGAGAACAGAGTGTTCTTGATGGTCAAAACCTTCAGTGTTTGGGAGGAGATCTCAACATCATTAACGGCGCATTCATCTAAGAAGAGACTTTCCCATGCTGGACAGCCCATCTCGAGTTGCTTGAAGAATCCTTCCATCAAAACAACACTGGTGAACTCAATTCTTGTGAGATAGCGGGAAGCAAACTCGGAGTGGTCGAGATACAATTTGTCACACAGCACAACAATATCCAGAACCCGTGCCTGCTTCTGCACAGCGTGGCTAATCCATGCGTTGATATCTTCAGGGTCCGAGATATCATCGAATCCTTCATCCAATTCAAATTTGCACCTGAACTGAAACGTGCTTATCAAGGCAGCAGGGTCACGGAGCTCCATCACCCTCTCCATGAACATAATGAACGCCAATTCCGTCTTTTCATCATAGTATCCTTCCGAGTCGGAGTCCCGCGTGAACTCGTCTATGTCGGAGTTGATGCAGGGCACGGAGCGCCAGAGGTTGCGCCACCGCCGCGACAGCACACACGTCTGCACAGCCTGGCGCGTGGTCAGGAAGGACATGATATTGAGAATGATGTCGTCCGGGACGTCGCTGAACCAGTCCCCGTCGTCAGTGTGCGCTGGGCCCGTGACCCCCCTGCTCTTGCTAGGTGAACCCTCCATGGCGGCCGAGCACGCGCGCAGAGGCGTTTCGTCGAACAGGTGGCGCGCGTGGAACCTGCACGAGAGAGGAAGACCAAGAATCAGGAACCGAACAACCCGCAGCTCAACTCCAAGCACAAGAAACGACGCTCGAGAAGACATTGATTGGTCAGGGAAGAACATATAGAGAAGAAGGATCGATGCAAGAAGAGTTGGAAGCCGTACCTCGAAACCGCGCAGGCAGGCGTTTCGTCGAACAGGTGGCGCGCGTGGAAACTGCACAAGACCAAAGAATCAATAAGCCATGAATCCACAGCACAACTCCAAGCAAGATTTGAGATCGTAACACAGCAAAGCACGCTCGAGGAGAGATTGATCCGTGAAGAACATTCTAGGGGAGGGGATCGATGCATGGAGAGATGGAAGGGAGGAGGGAGCTGTATGTACCTCGAAATGTCGAATTCGCGATTCGCCTCGAGCGCTCCGGGGAATGGTTTTTTTACTGCTCCCTCGATGGAAACATGGACGGTTCAGGTTGGATAAATGTGTCTGCTGCAATGAAATACTCTGTCCGGTAAAATAATACTAATGTGGTTGTAGAATCTAGTCGTACTTCGTCCATTTCATATTATAAGTCATTTTGTGTTGCATGTTATAAGTCAGTTTTACTTTGGTTAAAATCAAACTACTCCAAATTTAATCAAGTTTATAAATAAATATAGTAATATTTGTAACACCAAATAAGTTACACTGAATCTATAATCGAATATATTCATAATATATTTATCTTGGGTTAAAAATGTTAGTATTTTTTTATACAAACTTGACCAAACTTGAAACAGATGGACTTTGATCAAAGTCAAAAATGACTTGTAATCTGAAACAGAGCGAGTAGTAATTAAGTTAATTTTGATCATAATAATTAGGGTTAATTGGATCATGCCACTGCAACTTTGCTAAATTTAAAAAAAAACGCCACTACTATTTGTCATATCAGCTACAATGCCACTCGAAATTTCTAAAATTAGAACCATGCCACTCCCGTCACATTTTCTGTCTCCTCTCTCACGCCGTCTTTGTCCCCCCTCCCCCAGTTTATTCGTTTCCCCTCATGTTTCCTCTCCTATCCTCTCCTCTCCTCCGACCAACCTCCCACCACAACACCGCTCCTCCTCCTCCTCCTGCTGCTGCAACCGCGCCGCCCTCAGGAACCTAAGTCCTTGACCACCGCCGGTAAACAACAAACCAAACAAAAATCCCTTCTTGCAGTGGTTTCCAAGCAGATCTGAGAGAGAACAAAAAGTGGTTTCCGATGGCTTCTTCCCCTTCCTCTTCCTTCTCCTCCTCCCCTTCCGCTGCCGGTGCTGCGCCGGCGTCCTCCTCCTACTGGTGCTACAATTGCGACCCCTTCGTGCGTGCCGCCCCTCACAAAGACTCCGCTGTCGCCTACCCGAACTACGGCGGCGGCATCCTCGAGGAGATGGGTGCACCCCCACCGTGCACCGCCTACCTCCGCCACCCGTGCGCGCACCACGCCAAAGACCTGCGCCTGCGACGGACATGCTGCGCTGACGCAGTGGCGGCAGCCGATGACCGCTCGCCGTTCAACCCCGTCATCGTGCTTTGCCGCTCCCCCGCTGCCGTAGCTGCCGGCGACGATGACTCCCTCGCCACGGTTACTAGCTTCGAGCTCTTCTACGACGACGGCGTGGGCTCCGGCCTCCGCCCGCTCCCGGAGACCATGTCGGACTTCCTCATGGGCTCCGCCTTCGAGCGTCTCCTCGACCAGCTCACCCAGATCGAAGCCGGCGGCCTCTCCCGCGCAAGGGAGAACCCGCCGGCCTCCAAGGCCTCCATCTCCATGCCGCGGGGCCGCCCACTCGCCCAGTTCAATCGCCGGAGAGGAGACAGAAAAAGTGACGGGAGTGGCATGGTTTTAATTTTAGAAATTTCGAGTGACATGTAGCTGATATGATGAATATTAGTGATAATTTTTTAATTTGGCAAAGTTGCAGTGGCATGGATCGAATTAACCCTTTAAACAACATCAAATCAAATCTAAAATTAAGTTTGAAAATTTAAAATGTAGCTTATAAGCATACAAACATAAGTGAAACAAATAGGGTTATATATATGTCTCCCTTTACCACCTACTCCTACAACAGTGGTACGACAGCTTCACCCAAAATCTGATAAGCCGATGCCACTGCATCGAATTCTTCAGGTGCAACTGCACCGCCATTACACGAGTCTCTGAATCGACGATGTTGGTGCCCCATGTTTGTGAAATTTTCGATCAAAGAATACAATGTGTGACACAGATTCCATAACCATGTGTGTGACAGTGGTGTTTCATAACAAATATATAGTTGTATGAAAAAATTAACAGCTTTTTGATTTTGTTGTTTTCCACTGATACAGAAAATTGTTGCAGCTTGTTGATATATAACCATGCTCATTATTTCCAGTAAAATCCACTCCTTCCGTTTCATATTCATATAATAAGTTGTTTTGACTTTTTTTAAAAAACATTTTTAAACTTGACCAAGTTTGTTGGAAAAATAAAAATATTTCCAACGCAAAATATAAATATGTTCAATGTTACATTTAATAAAACTAATTTCTAGATGTTATTCAATTTTTCTATAAACTTTGTTAAACCTAAAAAAATGACTAGTAAAAAAAAAGTCAAAAACAACTTATAATATGAAACAGCGGAAGTAATTTTTTATTTCATGTGTACATTACACAAAAAGGAAAAAAAATCTAATGAGTCGTACTGAAGGGGATAGAGCCAGAGTCATGGATTGGGATCCCATGCAGTTTGAATAGGGACTGCAAGTTTAGCAGTCTTATATCTTCAGTTTAGCAGTCTTATATCTTCACTACCATCAGATCAAAGGTTTCAACGGCCTGGATTTAGGAGCAATACTGTTTGTCAGCATTGGTGCGATCTGAGTCCTTGTTATTTGATCCAAAGATGGTTATATGACTGCTAAAGTTACAGTCATACAAGCAAAGGTGATCTCAATTCCAGTCATGGTGTATAACATCACGTCGGGAAAATATAAAGGCAAAATAATAGAGTACTCAAGCATCAACTTGCAGTACGTCTTGGTTATAGGACAATAGAACATCAACAGAACAAGGTGACAGACCTTTCACTTACATAGTACTACTAAGACATGATTGTTTCTACTCATATCATAGCACCAAACAAGAGCAGTATACATGTTTATATGTGCTTTCGGACTCAACTGGAGCAACAAATGTTATGATATGAACCTGAGCAGAGGTCAGTCCACTATTAACAAAGAAGTTCACCACGTCTTTGACCAGGGGATCATCCTCCGAGCATAAGACTTCAACACACGTAAGGTGCTCACATGTACTTGATCTACACCCGGCGTATGATATGAACCTGAGCAGAGGTCAGTCCACTATTTACAAAGAAGTTCACCACGTCTTTGACCAGGGGATCATCCTCCGAGCATAAGACTTCAACACACGTAAGGTGCTCACATGTACTTGATCTACACCCGGCGTATGATATGAACCTGAGCAGAGGTCAGTCCACTATTTACAAAGAAGTTCACCACGTCTTCGACCAGGGGATCATCCTCCGAGCATACGACTTCAACACGCGTAAGGTGCTCACATGTAAATGATCTATCTTCAAGTTTGCCAATGATTCTTTGTGGTTTTTCCTGGTGATAATATAGCAACAAAATAAGATGAGCTAATTCTCGATTGACATGTGAAAAATGATTCAAGAAGGATAAATATGCATTTGGAGGAAAAGATTTACCTTTTCAAGCTTTAGAGTTAGCTTATTTTTGGTGAGGTCTGAAGGAAGACCGTCAATCCATAGAAGTTTGCATCCAGACACCATTGACCGAGAGTCAGGCTGACAAGATTGTTGAATTTTGGGTACAATTGCAAATTGTTTTCAATTGTCAGCTGCACAATATTGAAATGATTATGTGGCAACAGAAAAAATCATGCCATGTTATAGACAAAATTTCACACTAAACATGACAACACAATCCAAAGCACTAACATTATGCCAACCAAAAACCAGAATAAATGATACTATACTAGTTTGCTTTCACCAAGACTTTCGTTGAAAGTTAGGTAGTTACACTAGTCTAATCACAATGCAAAAAACTATTGTGCGGTGCAGCAGGAGTAAGACTTTCAACATTTGCTGAGGCATTTCCATTTGTATGTTGACTTTGAGTATGTCTTAATTTTCAAATTCATGTGCATTAATGTCAATTGAAGTTAGACAATCACCCGGATTTCTTAAAAGATAAATTTTCAGTTGCGAACCCAATATTGCAGCAAACAAGAGCATGTTGAGTTACCAAATGGGAAATGCTCCAGTTTCATTGTGAAATCAAATAGCCAACTTCTTGCTTGACCAACAGGTTGATTGGTATACAAATAAACTGACAACATGAAATAGATTGCATCGAATGGTTGATGGCATCAGTGATCCTTAAAATCATCATGATTTCACACATAAGAATTAGTTATGCAACGCTTAGTTTTGAAGGTGTAATTGTGAATTGTGAAGTGTCAATAAGAAACACCGAGCTTGAGTTTTTTCCTTTTTCATATCAATATCTACATTAAGATTCCTGGATATAATAAGGAAAGTGAGATGTGTAAGACCAATAAGCTTACCTGTTTTCTTCTCCCAACATAATCGAACTCCAAACTTTTAGCAGCAGAAAGGCTCCTGAGATTTTGGAAAAAATCACCAGAGTCTTGCACATGATAAAGTACCAGTAATGAAGTCACTAGTAATGGCATGTCATTAAGCACATATGTGCCATTCAAAGGGCTCCACAACTTCAGATAAGTAACACTGGGGGTCGAAATAGTAGTCTTGTTGCCATAGGAGACATGAGTATTCTTGATGGTCAAAACCTTCAGTGTCTGGGAGGAGATCTCAACATCCTCAACGCTGCATTCATCTAAGAAGAGACCTCTCATTGCTGGACAGCCCATCTCGAGTTGCTTGAAGAATCCTTGCATCAAAATAACATTGGTGAAGTCAATTCTTCTGAGGTAGCGGCAATTGAATGCAGAGTGATTGAGCTCCAATTTGTCACACAGCAGGACAATATCCAGAAAGTGGCTGCTTCTGCACAGCGTGGCTAATCCATCCGTTGATAACTTCCGAGTCCAAGATATGGTTGATTTCCTCATTCAAATCCAATATGCACCTGAACCGAAACGTGTGTATCAAGGGGGCGGGGTCGCGGAGCTCATTCAGCCTTTCCATGAACATCTTGAACGCCAATTCCGTCTCTTGATCATAGTGCTCGGTATCTCTCCGCTTGAACTCGCTGATGTCAGCGTTGATGCAGGGCACGGTGCGCCAGAGGTTGCGCCACCGCCGCGACAGCACGCACATCCGCACAGCCTGGCGCATGGTCAGGAAGGACATGATGCGGAAGACGATGTCGTCGGGGAGGGTGCTGAGCCTGATCTTGCCAGGCGACCCCTCCATGGTGGCCGAGCACGCGCGCAGAGTCGTTTCGTCGAACAGATGGCGCGCGTGGAAACTGCACACAGAAGAGGAAGACCAAGAATCAGGAACCCATCAACCTGCAGCTTAACTTCGAAGAAATATCTGACACCGTAACACAAGAAACAACGGTTACAACGCTCGAGCAGTTTTTCCGTGAAGAACATCCAGAGAAGAAGGATCGATGCAAGAAGAGTTGGGAGGAAGGAAGGAAGGAAAGGAGCCATACCTCGAAATCGCTCGCTCAGGCAGGCGTTTCGTCGAACAGGTGGCGCGCGTGGAAACTGCACAAGACCCAAGAATCAATAAGCCATGAATCCACAGCAGCACAACTCCGAGCAAGATTCGAGATCTCAGCGCAAGAAACAACGCTCGAGCAGTGATTGATCCGTGAAGAACATCTAGAGGAGGGAGGGGATCGATGCAAGAAGAGATGGAAGGGAGGAGGGAGCTGTACGTACCTCGAAATCGCGATTCGCTGCCCTCGAGCGCTCCGGGGAATGGGAGATACGCTTCCTTCGCCACTGCTACTGACTGGTGGGGACACTGCTGTATATCATAGTAAAAAAAAGGGACCGGTCCGGCTGTTGAACCGGAAAAACTGGAACTGGTGACCATGACGGCTCGGTTCAGCACAAAGACCGTCCCCGCAGTCGGACCGGTAAAAATCGGATAAACCGGGTAGTTTTTATGGACCGCTGAACCGGTGCGGTTCTGTAGAACTGGGTGGTTTTGTGTTTGGACACACAATACCCTTCCTTTTGCTTGCCTTGGTCGTTGGTACTATGAACTCAGGGGTAATATTGAAAAATGGATAAGCCACCCTAGGGTTTTTGACATACTGTAGAAATTTGGACCGTCATCCAGATCCACTCAACCTCTCACATTCTCAATTTCTCTAAGCTCAAACTCAATTGCTGAAGAAACCTTTTTAATCTCGGTTTGTAACCTCCAGTAGTCCCGATTATGCAACCGGGACTAAAGATTTTCATCTTTAATCCTGGTTGAAATAACCCGGACTAAAGATGGATTTTTAGTCCCGGTTGGTAACATAAGGCTTTTTTTTCCCTATTTTACATATATCGCGCTCGATATCTCCTAATCATTAAAAAAATATCATCTCCCAACATCCCAAATTATCCACAACAACATTCTCAAATCAAATCATCCACAACAACATAATCATTCTCAAATCACAACAACATACTCATTCTCAAATCACAGATCGACTGAACAAATTATTCTCAACAAACAATCATTCACAAATAACAACGAAAAAAGAAAAGAAAAAAAAAATCCACCGCCTGCCGCCGCTGGGCGTGGCCCTCGCACCGGCCTCCACCGGACACGGCGGCCTGGCCGGGCGCGGCCCCGCAGGGCGCCGCGTCTGTGACTTAGAGGGAGAGGGAGGAGGAGGAGGAGGGAGAGGGATAGAGGAGTGGGGGAGGAGGAGAAGGACTGAAGGAGTGGGCGTTGTGCGTGAGGAGATAAGGGAGAGAGAGAGAGAGTGCGTAAATCGTGGGGGAGAGATTATTTAGCCCGGTTGGTGTTACCAACCGAGACTGACTTAAGTTCGTTGGGGGCCTTCCAACTATTGAACCGGGACTAAAGATAAAAAAAATAGCGCTAGGCTTTTAACCAGGACTAAAAATATTTTTTAGTCTTGGTTTTTTTAGCAACCGAGATTATTGTGGAATTTGGCCGACCGACCAAAGATGATTTCTACAGTAGTGTAAGACCTACCCCTACTCACTGCTGCTCAAGTTTTCCCCGGTGCGTCGCGCCTTGTCGCCGCCACCTCGCGATTTCTCTCTCGACGCAGTGTCCGGCGACCTCACATCAACATGCCACAACAGTAGCGCGGCAAGCCGGTAGCACGAAGTTGCCGAGGTGCCGACGGCCGTCGCGGCGTCACGCCGGTAGCAGAGCAAGCCGGTGGCAAGGTTGAAGGGCACATCATTGCGAGTTGCTTCGTGTTCTAGCCTCAAGAAATATATGTGCATGTGTGGTTGATTAGCTTATTGCACCAGATCTGTTGCTAGCTAGTTAGCCTAGCTGCGGAAGTGCAGGTGTTTGATTTGCTCTGTTGATCACCCAATCTAGTCTAAAATTGGTATTACATATACGATGAACTTTATTGGCTACCGATTTGTTTTCTAATCCATTAGATTTGGGAGTTGTGACCTGATGTTTATCCATTTGCAGCAGTGAATTCTTTATCCACTCCAGAATCACTACCACCAGTTGTGCCGGTTAGATTAACCACAATCTCAAGAGGATTGCTCTGCTGCTGAAACTAAACAAGAAATCCGTTCCAGTAAAAGGTCAGAGGGAAGACTGATCCTGCTTGGGACCATTGTGTTGAACTTGTCCCCAAGGATAAAACTAAAGCAGGAAAGCCAAAACTTTTATTTTTACATACATATTCATCAATATCTGGTGTTTCTGTATATAAAATAATACAAAACAAATATAATATTAATAAATAAAAAGGCAGCGGTTCGACCAGTGACCTGATGGTTGGACCGGTGAACTGGTGAACCAGCAACTTGAGGGGTTCGATCTCCGGTTTGGTATTTTTACTATACTTGAGATAGAGATGGACAGTTCAGGTTGAATGAACTTGTCTGCTGCAATGAAATACTCCCTCCGGTTATCTCTACTACTTAAAAAAAGCCTAGTGGTGGTCTTGAATAGGGTTTCACTTATCGTGTGGTAACCGCGCGATTACCGCGGTTATCGCACTTACCGTAGGGATACGGTACAGGAAACCGGTGATATGGTTTGGATGAATTTTGACCAAATTCAAAATTCTGGAAAAAATAAAAAAATGAAAAAAATCATGGATGTAATGCCAATGATGATGAATTTTTTTGAAATAGGGTAAGCTAAATTCAAATTTGAGGGCGAAACCGAAAATAGTTTACAAATTAGAAAAAAAGGAAGACAATATCGGTAAGAATCCTACGTATTCTTCCAATTATCCTCAATTTCTAGTTTTCTACACATATTCAACCGTATTTTCGATTTTTTTGCCTATTTATTTTTCATTTACGTGATTTCAGCTGCACAGCCCGTGATAACTGTGCGAATATCGCGGTTAACCATGCGGTAACCACAGCGAAGCCGCGAAACCACCGAGTTTTGAATTCGAATTTTTGGATGCGATTTTCGGCGGTTACCGCGCTACTGGGTGTGTGTGTGTGTGGGGGGGGGGGAAGGGGTAACCCTGGCCCAAACGATAAGGTAAATCTTGGTCTTGGATCCTCACCCTAATAGACCCATCGCCCAATCAACGGCTCAGATCGTGTTTCAGTCGATAAAAACAGTACTACCTCCGTTTCATAATGTAAGTCATTCTAGCATTGCCCACATTCATATAGATACTAATGAATCTAAACATATATGTGTGTCTAGATTTATTAACATCTATATGAATGTGGATAATACTAGAAAGTCTTACATTATGAAACGGTGGGAGTATAGAAGAAAATAATAGACTGATATTTTGTTTAGCACAGCTCTCCTAATCGGCCGGCACTGGCATATAGTATATCGGCAAAAGTAAACAATAGTTTGACATAATCATATCTGGTCCCACACAAAATAAGCAAATCTTAACTGAAAAGAAAACTATAACTAATAAGATCGGGCATTGCACGCGCTAAATAATCAGCTGCAAACCGACACCAAATCGCCATGCTTCACGCGGTCTTCACGCGCATGCACAGACCGGTTGCATCCAAATTCTCCTCTCTCAGCAACGTGAAATCCTTCTGTGCATCTCCTGCTTCTTCTTTTTAAATCACCAGCAAACCTTTGACTGCATCGATCAATGCATCCTCACAGTCCAAGATTCCAAGTACATAGCTACTCCCTCCTTCCCTAAATATTTAACACCGTTGACTTTTTTAAACATATTTGACCGTTCGTTTTATTCAAAAACTTTTGTGATATGTATAAAACTATATGTATACATAAAAGTATATTTAACAATAAATCAAATGATAGAAAAAGAATTAACAATTAATTAAATTTTTTGAATAAGACGAACGGTCAAACATTTTTAAAAAAATCAACGGCGTCAAACATTTTGGGATGGAGATAGTACTAACTTCTCACATAACACCAAATGATAAAATGACCCTCTAACTTACTATACAAACAACCATCCAGTACATCACAAATTCCTATACAAATAAATTGAGGCCCTCTTTGTTTAGGCTTATAAGCCAACTTATAAGTCGAAAAGTCTAAGCCTAAACAAACAAGTAGCTTTTCTGTTTGGCTTTTTTGAAGCCATAAGCCACTCTAACACTATTAAGCCAAAAACTAGGTTGGAGAAGTGTTTTTGGCTTATGTGAGGTAGATGTGTGATTCAACTACTAAACTTAGGACATTAAATCCACCGGCTTATAAATCATATAAGCCAATAAGCTGACTTAAAAGTCTAGGCCAATAAGTTTAAGCCTAAACAAAAGGGCCTGAGTAGATTTTCCAAGTAAATCAGTTGCATCATGCATGTATTCTAAAATAATCTCGCCTGCACATATACACTACTCCTAGCTGCCAAGGCTATATATATACATGCACCCATGGTCATCATATTGATCCCACGAACAGCCAGCCCAGGCAACAACCCTGTAGATATGACACTCGACACAATGACGATAGGCTTGCCAGTAAGAGAAGGTGTGAGCAGCGCGAAGCTCACCCTCATCGTAGCGTGTTTTCTGCTACCGTTTCTTGTCGAGGCTGAATCGCGGGCACCGGCGCCACTCTCCTTCAGCTTCGACTTCTCCAATTCAGCCAGCTACCGCCTGGAGGACCTCCTGTTCGAGGGCAACGCAAGCGAGCCCAGCAACAAGCTGGTGGACCTCACCTGCAACGAGTTCGCGGAGACGATCCACAAGTGCAAGGGGCGGATGTCGTACGCCCACGCCGTGAAGTTCTACGACGCCACCACGGGCGAGGTGGCCAGCTTCAGCACGCGATTCACCTTCGCTATCGCCATCAGAAGCGACATCAGCAACCCGACGGACACAAAGGGGGACGGGCTGGCCTTCTTCCTCGCTGCTTACCCATCAACGATTCCATCGAATTCAGATGGAGGCAACCTTGGCCTCCTTGCCACCAATCATTCGAAGGCCTACGGCACAGACCGGTTCATCGCCGTCGAGTTCGACACATACAACAACATCTGGGACCCCAATAAGACCTACGACCACATGGGCGTCGACATCAGCGCCATCGAGTCGGCTAACACGACAAGTTTGCCGAGCTACAGCCTGAATGGCACGATGACAGCCTCCATCAGTTTTAACAGCAGCACCCGGATGCTGCTTGCCAACCTGCATTTTGATGATCATCCATCGTTTCAACCGGCCGAGGTCAGTGCGATTTTGCCGGATCCGGTCACATTGCTTCCACAAGAGGTATCCGTTGGGTTTTCCGCAGCCACCGGCGGCTCTGGCAGTGAGCTCCATCAGATACTTTCATGGTCCTTCAACTCCACTCTTGGTTTGGCCCTCTACTGCTAATCCACGCAGAGGTATATTCTCCATCACAATATACATTTTTTGTCTCTATTTAAATAACTAATTAAGCACTCAATCTAGTTAGAAGGAAGGAGTAAACTACTGGCTTTCATGTCTTACATCCTCGTTAAATATTTATACAAACTTGTATACTTCAGGCTGAATCCAATGGAATATAATGGAATACTTAATAGCTGAATGATTCGAGACACAAACAAATGAATTAACTATTACAAAATTAAAAAGCGGATTAAAAATAGTATTTTACAATATTCATATGTACGAGTAGATAGTATTTTTCATATAAAAAAAATCACACTATTTAAGAGCTTGGGAAGCTTGCATATTCTTGTTTCATTCCGTTATGGAGAAAAGCACACTCGAGAACAACTGTCTTCAGAAGGTCGGAAGCTCAAAGGTGAAATACATGAAACGACTAGCAGAGTGCATGCATGTGTTAGCAAATTTATGGAATAAATGATGAAAGAAACGAAGTTTTAGCGACCTTACAACTAAACCAAAATAAGTATAATGCCACACTATAAAACACTTCTTACCTAGCTTGCTTAGATTGATAAATGTGTCCTTTGTTGAGCCTTCCATTGCTGCACCTAATATTTACGCGGAATGTGTATACTATGACGAGAGAACAAATATAACGTACTGTAGCAGCAACAATATATATAATAGCATATATATGATCATAGAATGATTAAATTGTTCTAACATCCAGATTAATGTTCTTACTTCTCACTTGGCTTGCTTCTGTAACACGTTCTATGGATGGGAACCCAACAAAAGAACTTCAAACAATATATCACAATAATCAACCCTACATATTAATTCTAAACCTGGTATTTATCTCATGTCCTTTGTTCTAGACATTTTTTTTCTGTTTTTTTTTAAAACAAACCTGAGGCTAAAGGCCTCAAAATATATTACTAATAGAAATTTGCAAGCTGAGAGGACAGCTAGATAAGCAAAGAAGCCCCTAGGAACTGTGCAAATTACACATTGAGCAACAAAACAGCAAAGAAGGGCATTAGAGAAGAAACTGAAAAAGCAATCAGGTTCCTAACTCTGTTTCCTCCACGGCACCAGCCGAATCGACGACGATGGCGATGGCGAGACCAGTAAATCCATGGCAAACTGCAAAAAAAAAAAGCTAAAACACGAAAACGGAGGAGGAAAAAAAGGGACGGAGTACGGACTAAGGAGTGCGGTTGGAAAAGAAAAGTTGGGTGGGGTGGGGGTGGGGGTAGGTTGTGAGGGGAGCGTATATAGTTATGGATATGGAGATACGATCGACTATATAGTGTATTATAATGATTTGCGGGGATGATTTCATACTATATATAGTACTAATGTGTTAGTCAAGAATATATTAAGAAGCGTTCGCGAAGGCTACAACGTACGGATGCTTAATGAAGTGCCATTGTCGACCTAGTGGCCTACTGGGGGATTGCAAATGGATGATTGAAAACGCTCAAGGCCTTCATCTCCAGGGAGGTTGGTAGGGCACACCCGCTCTAGCTTTGTGACATGCATGCATATGTATAGATGCATACTGTATATTGTATATGTTACCACCAGTAATTAGTAGCTAGGGATATACTCCATCCGTCCTATAAAAAAACTAACCTAGTACCGAATATGACATATTCTAGTACTACGAATCTAAACATATATAATATTACATCTGATTCTAGATACGTTTTTTTAGGGACGAAAGGAGTACTTAAAAACAGTGGTAGAGGAAGGAACTTATAAAGACTAGGGCATAATTATTAATGCAATTTGTTGAACCTTCAAACTTCCTACAAAATTTAAAAGTATTTTCAAGAGAGGAGACAAGCACAATAGCACTGTTTTTTTTGAACGCAGAGCACAATAGCACTTTTAACTCTTTAAACTACTACTGCATATATTTTTACTCCTTTCATCTGAAATAACTTATTTTTTTATATAAACCAGAATATCAAGCTAAGTTACTTTTAGGACAGATGGAGATTTTACGCTAAGCGATGGAAAACGATTTGATTTTACGCGCTGAACCTAACGGTATTTTCTTCTCGCTGTACAAGTCCTGGTAGGACGTCACTCATCGGCTCCATGGGTCATATATCGGCCCATCAAACGGCTACCGGCTACGCACTCTGCTTACTGACATGAATGCCAGTCACAGGTCACAGCCACGTCAGCCTTTTCCCCTTCGTGGGAGACAAGATGAGAAAAGTTGTTCAGCAATTAATTTCAACAAAAGTCAAGACCTCAACCTTAGGGTAGTCCCTCCCTTCGTAAAAAAAATCAACCTAGTAGAGAATGTGATCTAGAAGAGAAAAATGTATGTATGTTCAAATTTATTATACTGGAAGAGATGAAGTAGGTCGATCCTAACTCATAAATTATTGTATAAATATGGAGTTTGTATAAAACTCAGTGGATGGTTTATTCAAAATAATTTTTTATCTAATCACCTCTCTTAATTATCTCTTCTTTCATTCACCTATCCCTTTGTCTTTGTTCTTGCTTCATGCCTAAAGTTATTTTCTTGATGAGAGATGATTTCATCTTCCTTCTCTCTCCTTGTTAACTCTTTTGCCACTTTGTTTTTTTATGTGACAAACATACAATACTAGGAGAAGGGTTTTTCCGTGCGGTTGAAACTGATTTTCGCATGCAGATGGGCGGCCCGTATGCACCCAAGGGTCTACGAAAATCGCGATTTTCGCGTGCGGGTGCCTATGTCGCCCGCATGGGAAAATAAAAATCCAGAAAAAAATTCAAAAAAAAAAATCCACCGGCAGCGCCACCGCCTCCTTGTCGTCGTCGTCGTCCGAAGACGCTGCCCGCGCCCTCGTCGTTGTCGCCACCGGCTTCCGCGCCGCACGCCGCCTCCTCGTCATCGTCGGCCGGGGATGCCGCCCGCGCCCTCGTCGTCGTCGCCGGCGGCCTCCGCGCCACCTGTCGCCGGCATCCGCGGTCCCCTCCAGCCGCACCGCCGCCGAGGCCCCTCCCCTCCGCCGGATCTGGCGAGGGAAGGAAGGGGAGGGGAGGGGAGCCGGATCCCGAGGGGGGGGGGAGGGGAGGGGAGGGCGGCCGGCCGCTGGATCCGTGCTCCCGTCGGCCTCCAGGCTCCCCTCCGGCCACACCGCCGCCGACGCCGCTCCCCTCCGCCAGATCTGGGGAGGAAGGAAGGGGAGGGGAGTGGAGCGGGATCCCACGAGGAGAGGGCGGCCGGTAGCCGGATCCGTGTGGGGACGGCCGCCAAGCACCGTCAGGACTCGGGGAGAGGAGAGGACGACATGGAAAATGAGGAGAGGAGTAAAAGAGGAGAGGAGAAAAAGAGGAGAGGAGGGAAGAGGAGAGAAAGAGGGGAAAATTTAAAGTGGGTAGGAGGGAAAGAAAGGGTGGGTATTTTTGCATGCGGCTTTCTTAATAGGTCCGCACGTGAAAATGGGCCCTATTTTCCCAGACGCGACCAGTTATGGTCCGTCTGCAATCTAAATGACTCTATATCTAGGAAAATCTTTTGTGTAGTAGTGATATATATAATGTTATACTAAACACTACGTGACATGGAGAGTTGGGACTACCCTTAGGCTTAGAGGATGTGCCCTACTACCTCCCTATCAAAATAAGTGTATTAAGGGGTTATTTGATTGATGACTAAGTTTGTCACATCTCACGTTACCACAAGTGTGTATCACCTCCTATCATATTTCTTTTCATTTACCTCTAATTAACCTCTCTCTCACTTCAAATCACACCCTTATTTAATGTACTTTCTCTATTCCAAAATATAAGTATTTCTAGGTTGTTAAGCAGATGTTAAGGTTAAGAAGAAACAACTTTGGTGTTCCTCAATAAAGCTAGAAATGCATTTACTATGACATAGAGATATAGTAGGTTATAAATAAATAAAAATATTCATAAGAATAATGATATATTGTAAAGTAAAAAAATATCTTTAGAAAATGTTGTCCAAGCAATACTTATGTAAAAAGGTTTTTGAGAAATCATACTTTTGAAAGTGGTAGTAATAATCTATATTATCTACATAATTAAGTTGTTTAGAATAGGGCACAAGGTAGCACCATTTGATACACTTAGATACATAATATATGCCATGTGTTCTTAATTTATAATTAACCTAAGACATTGAGTTGCCAAAGTTTGAACCCTAGTTTGTCATCATCATGCATGTGAGTACAGTACAGGCCTTGCTTGTGTCATGCAAGAGAGGTAACTTGCACAAAAGAAAAAAAATGGCTGATCAGAATGAATAAGAAAAACAGAATTCGTTGTACAAAATGTACAATTTTAGCTGATTGAAAAATTATGAAAATTAATTAGATCCCTGAAATCTTTTTTTCCCTGAAGCTACAAATTAATCAACACGAAAACTATAAAACCTCTGTGAAAGACCTCTGCATGTGGATCAAGATCCTGTGCAGTTGTTATTATAAGTGTAACTTAAGCAGTTATATGTGTATCAAATGATCTAGAATGGAAGGTCAGGATATGAAGCGGTACTGTAGCAAAAATACTGTAGCAGGGATGTACTATATTATGCCTTTACTGTAGCAGTCATCTAGAGCCGCTAGATCTGAAAACGAATGGCCACGATTGTGTGCAGTTGCTATTGTGCAGTTACAATAGCAACTGCATTTGATCTCAATCCTCTGCATGTACTACATCATCCCCAAAAGACCTCATTTCTCACTGTAGACCTCATTTTTCACTATATGAATATCGGAAAGAAAATGTTCGTCTAGATTCATAGTCAAAGTTGAAGTGTCTTTTGAGGACAAATGAATGGCCTGTTTGGCACAGCTCTAGAGCTAGAGTCCAGCTAAACAATTTCAGCTCCATCTAAAATGGGAACGGGGATGGGTGGAGCGCTCTCACAGAATAAACTAGAGGTGGAGCTGGGTTTTTTTAGGCTGTTCCACAACTCCGATCCACTACAGATCCAACTCCTGGAGCTAAATCTAGGAGTTTGAGCTCTATCAAACAGACCTGAAAGTATATAATACAACACTTGTCATTCTAGGTTGTTTAGGATAAATTAAGGTTTCATAAGAAAAGACTAAAGTAACCCTTATTGATTAGAAGCGGAAGGTTGGTTGAGGATACAATAGAAAGAAATTTGAATAAGATGTGATTGAGGGGACGATTAGTACTTTACAGTGACAACTATTCTGGCAAAGAATTTGCAATATAACTATTTTAGAACTTAGGGATTCATACGATCCAACATGCATGCTGTGTATGAATCCTTTCTTCATGAATCTTGGATTCTTGGAGGTGATCAGGTCAGACATATGTTGGCATTCACCCTTGAATAACTATTACGTTCCAAAACCTGCAGTACTGCCACATGAATGCAGACATATACCCCTACTATATGGCATAGTACTATATGGTATTGTCACTTCGATTAATTTGTACCATTCCTTGTTTTTTCGTTTTTTCTCCTTTTCCCCTCCGTTCCCCTTCTTTTCCTTTTTTTCCTCATGCACTCTGTTATTTTCCTTTTTTCCTTCTCTTTGGAGCCACGAGTAAATATTTTACTAACAAATTACTCTCACCTAATCTTCTTTTAGTAAATAATTTTTTTTCTTTTTTTCTTCTTTTTTTTCTCATGCACTCGTTATTTTCCTTCTCTTTGGAGCCATGAGTAAAAATTTGACTAATAAATTACTCTCTCACCCTAATCTTCTTTCAGTAAATAAATTATGGGCTTTCAGTCACACTAAGTATCTACCAGCAAATCAATTACTCACGAGTATATTGTTATAGAAAAAAAATATTCCAGTGTTATCTCAATAAAGAAATTACTTCCGATAGAAAAATCTACTCTGGTCTTCACTTATTAAATAATTTACTTCACACAAAATCTACTGCATCCCTTATCTCAGTAAATTAATTACTCATAAAATTTACTCCTCTCAGTAAATGGATTACTTTTACTATAACCATTAATTTTTCTGGCTTTTTCTCACTCTTATAAAATAATGCCTCCTGCCTTTTCCCAATAAATAAACAAGAAGATTGACTCCGGTATTCTCTTAGAAAATAAATTTCTCCCAGACTGCTTAGCCACAAAATTTACTCCAATCTTCTCTCATTGAAATAAGTTACTTCCCGACTGCTGGAGTAAAATATTTACCAACAAATCGATATAGCCAAAATAAATTACAACCATATTTTTGTCGACTATAAAACTACAGACATGTTTACAAAGACTCAGGGGCACAAACACATATGATTCTACAATTAAAAAAAGTAGACTCGCTGCTCCAGTTGCATCTGCAAAGGACAAATAGTAGCCGATGATGACACCGGCACCGACAACCTTAGAAGTTCTGTGCGGAGTTATGGGCAGGACTTGTGTTTGGAGGTGGGTGTTGGGAACCCATCTCCCATACACGGAAAACAGAGCGGTCTGTTAGCACGTGAGTAATTAAGTATTAGCTATTTTTTTTAAATAACTTTTGTATAGAAACTTTTTTGTAAAAAATACACCATTTAGTAGTTTGAAAAGCGTGCGCACGAAAAAAGAGAGGGAAGTGTTGAGAACTTGATCTTGCAGACACACCCGTTGGCAACCACAACAGATTAGCTACAGGTAGAAATCGATGGAGGAGGCCAATGACAGCTGGCTGTAGCTAGCTCATGCACGAGCAATCCCCATCAAGAGAGGGATCCGCAAAATAACAATGAATCACAGGGGCTTAGAATGCTCACAACAATGAAACCATGATCACAGAAACTAAATTCAAACATGATCGATAGAAATGGTGAAGTAGTGAGACTTTGATCTTATCGACAAGAACAATGGTTCGATCCAGTAGATAATGTTAGGATTTTAGAAAGAAGAAAAAATGGGATTTTTTTACCATGCTATTCTTCTACTGCAAGTCATCCGTTATCCTCCTTCAGCTGTGCAACCAAGTTTGTACTCCTAGCCTGCAATCAATGACATTGTGCAATAATTGTATATAGAATCTCCTCTTGTTCCAGTTCCAAATTCCTCAACACTGCACAGACCAATTGACAACTAAAAAAATAAAATTTAAACAGGAAAAGTAAGGAGGTGTTGAATGCATCCTGCAGGAATTTCATTGTGGTCAGGCTTGTTGTTAGACTGCTGGTAGGAAGTCAGAGAGTCAGATACAAAACTGTAGTGCATAAAATATAATCTAAATGACCCAGTGCATACCTTGAAACTGAATTTGTTATCCAGACAAGCATGGAAGTCAGATTCCTTTTCCTTCAAACGAACATGATCATGAGGCCTGAATTCACTATGGTTCTTGGTTTGGCATATATTATGAAGTGCAACTAGTTGGTTGCTGAAACAAATAGTGTGCACTACACATCTAACCAAAAAGAACTTTAATAGTGACAGGTTACCAATCTCAAGAAGCTCATGGTTTTGTTTTAGAGTCAATTAAGCAAACTGCTAGTAAATCGGTTAATATGAGACATTATATTTGTGTGTAGGCACCAAACATATATATTGAAGGACAAATCCAAGCCTGTAACCTGACAATGCAGGCACCAAATCCATTAATATCTTTTGGAGCTCAAATTCGAAATTCTGGCCATTGTTCATTTGTTTTTATACCTGCCAAAAGTAGAATGATGCTATTTGATAACATCTGAATATGTACTCCCATCTGTTCCAATTTAATGCACTCAAATTTGACCCAAATTAATACTGATAAAACTAGGATTTCTTAATAAATAGATGAACTCTAGTTTTTGACATGGAAACAAGCAGCGCTTTAACACCCATGAATTTGATCAAACAAAGAAAATAGCACAAAATGTGCATAATGGAGCACGTGCACATTAAAAAAACACAATACTAAAATTTTGAGATTAAATCACTTTGAATGGTTTGTAATGAGATCCAGGCAATTTTAGCAAGAATTATATAGTGTGGATAGACATATACAGATGTCTAAGAAAATCAGCCACACGATTGCAGTGGAAAACATTTGAGTAGTTTAGAATCAAACTGCAAATATGAAACTATTACAAACATGAAGCAAGTAAAAGCGGGATGTTGGCACTCTGAAACTGCAAAAAACCTGAAACGCTTCTATTATGTGCTTGTTGACTGCAAACCTGAAACGGTGGAGATCGACCGAGAGGCGACGTTGCCGATGGAGACGAGCGGATCCAGACACGGCATCGATTGTTGGTTGCTGTCGTGCATGTATTTCACCTAGGATGGCAACAAAATCATGACAACAATAATTCCAGCTGAACAAAATAACTACAGCAAAAATGATTTGGAATGGACGCTCTCAGCCGGCGCCCGGCGGATGTGCAGGCGCGACGCCGAAGGTCTGACGCTCTGAGGCAGAGCTCATGGAGACTGGATCTTGGGGCGTCGTTGAGCCTGAAGCCGACCGGCAGAGGAGGGGCGTCGAGGCGGGGCCGCGGGGAGGGGGTGGGGGGTGACGAACCGAGGGGCGCGGTCGTAGTGGCGCGGAGCTAGCAGCGAGACTGGACTGGAGGCGGACGGCCACGACCCCGACGACCCCGGGCGGCGCACCACAAACAGCGGTGGAGAGAGGGCAGGGCTAGTGTGATTTTATATCTCAGGCTAGACTCGCTTGAGCTGTCTTACATTAGTGTCTTTACTTTCGTTTCGCTAACCGCCCAAAAGCAGGTGCGCACACACAAATGCTAGGCGAGATGAGGTCGGGCGGCAGTGATGGAGCTCCATGGGGATCTTGAGCCACCGAGCCACAGCGCGCCTGCCTTCACCCGAGCAAGACGCCAAGACCCGCGTGGGAGGGAGGGGACGTCGGATCGGACGCACATTCAGTGACATTCCCCGTGACATTCTCGGTGACATTGAGTCACTGACACGTGGGACCCACATGTGTCTGGATCCACGTGGGTCCCACACGTCAGTGACTCAATGTCACGGGGAATGTCACCGGAGCAATGTCACCGAATCTCAATCCCATCGGATCCGCCATCGCGCCGCCTTTAGCTGCGCCGGATCCGCCTCGCTGCGACCAGATCCACCGCCGCCTCGCCGAGCCTCCAGTCACCCACCACCACCGCGCCCGCTAATGCCGCGCCCATCGCCGTTCGGCGGTGGCGGAGGTGGAGCCGCCGCGCCTCCCGCCCGCCGACGCCGCGCCCGTAGTCACTTGTTGCCCCGAACCGCTACTGCCGCCGCTCCTTCTCACCGCATGACAAACTGCATGCCTCCGCCGGATCCGTAAAAAGTGGAGAGGGAGGGGAAAGTGAGTGGACGGTTAGATTCAATAATAAGCTATTTACTCCGTAAATGTAGGAGAGGGAGGGGCGCAGCCCGCAGGTGGGCTTTTGGGGGAGGGGTGGGGGGTAGGCGGGGAGGGGGTGGGATGTGAGAGGAAGCGTTTTAGTTATTACGCACCCCAGGTACGGTATAGTATGTGTGTGTCTATATATATATATATCACTATTATAAAAATTGAATATGTTTTTGTCGGGATTTTGGTACGTCATCCGTGTTAGAAACGGTTTTAATTTTATGTTTCAGTTTTAATCTATATCTATATCTCTATAAAAACAATTTCCGTCTTCTGTAAAAAAAGAAAGATAAAAGTCCGACTAAAAAAGAGGTAAAAAAAGAAAGAAAAAAATGTCCGACTCAATGAGCGATTAAAAAAAAAAAAAGCTTCCGTCGTCCTCAGTAAAAAAAAGAGAAAAAAACCATCTCTTGTCCGACTCCCATACAAAAAGGAAAAAAAATCTCCCAGTAAAAAACGAAAAAGTCTGTTTGTTTTTTTTCACCGGTATTTTTTTTTCCTTTTTTCTTTTTCTTTGCACGCAAAAGAGTTTTCTACGTTTTCTCTTTGCACACAAAAGAGTTTTTTTATGCGCACACGCTAAGGCTTTTGGTTTTTTTTAATCCGATCGGTTCACCGTGCACCTCCCGTGCGCTTTTAGTTTTTTCGTCAATCTTTGTTGTCATCGGTTTTTCTCCCGTGCGCTTTTTTTTTTCTTATCTGGTTTTATAATCCCATATGTTCACCGCCGTTATATCGATCGTGCGTTTTCTCCCCCAATTTGATTTCAAAAATCAATTCCCCACTCCTCTCTCATCATTTTCTCTATGATTTTCCCTTCGATTCGGCTTTAATTGCCGGATTTAATCTCTGTTTTATAGTTACCGATGATGACGGTGATCTTCCCCGGTCATTTTTATCCCGAGTTTTATGCTCTGATTCAGGGAAAACGGAAGGAGTAGCTCAAGTGGATAAAAACCCTCGACTAATTTTGGCTGACCAAGAAAGATTTAGCCAAATTTGATGGGGATATTTTCTCTGGCAAACGTACGGGCGCGGACACGGGATTATCTTCGGGAGATTGAAGATGGTAGTCATAGTCGGGAAGTTGAAGGTAGTTGGGTCGAAGAGAAGAACACCAAATGAAGGAAGGTAGCGGACTAGCGTAGGGCTGACAAGGAAGAAAGGCTTTCGGCTGAAAACCCAGGAAATATTTTCATTACCTTTTCTTAATTATAATTTATAGCGATCCCAATATTAAGATTTTTATTAACCTTTTCAATTATAGTGTATACTGAATATCCAAATATTTCAGCTGTGTTTAGATTTCAACTTTTCCGTCACATCAAATGTTTGGACACATGTATGGAGCATCAAATGTGGAAAAAAAAAGAAAAACTAATTGTACAATCCGACTGTAAATCGCGAGACGAATCTTTTGAGCCTAATTACATTATGATTAGCCATAAGTGCTACAGTAACCCACATGACGGATTAATTGGGCTCAAAAAATTCGTCTCGCAGTTTACAGTCGGAATCTGTAATTTGTTTTGTTATTAGTCTACGTTTAATACTTTAAATGTGTGTCAAAAAAAAATTGGCCAAATTTTTACAGCATCTAACCACGGCCTTCAATTTGTTACTCGACTCTTAGTATATCATTGAAAAAAGTCTTTACCCGTTGCAACGCACGGGCAACTTTTATTTGATAATGTGTTTGTTTGAGCGTCCGTTTCTATACTATGGGCCTGTTTGGTAGAGCTCCAACTCCAAAATTTAATTACATGAGTTAGGTCTGGAGTCAAGTTGTGGAGCTGCCCAAACCCTACTCCACCTCTCTAGTTAATTTTGTGAGAGCTCCATCCAGTTCCACTCCCATTTTAGGTGGAGCTGAAACTGTTTGGCTGACATCTAACTCTAGGAGAGGTGGAGGTTGAGCTGGAGCTGTGCCAAATAGGCCCTATATTTCATTGACAAAATTAAATGCCTTGTGGCTTGTACAACCTAACCATCACACATATAATCGTGGCTTGTGCAACCAAACCATCACACATATAATCATCCTCACCATCCTACCCATCAGAGATTATTTATAGCTTTTTGCCACCACATGTAGCCACCACTAAGACAAATAATAATATCTGGCCACCACCATAATATATATATTTCCGGGTGAACAGATATTGTCACACCTGAAAATACGGCATCGTCTTCACATGCTCTGAACTTAGGCATATGCCTAGCACTAGTACACGATTGATTTTCCTGGACGCTGCCCCCTTTTATTTCCATGCGATTGGTAAGTAAAACCGCACGAGAAAATCGAAAACCGGTGCCAAGCTAACGCCTGCACGAGAAAATCGATTTTCCCGTGCGGTCCCGCACAAGAGGACCGCACGGGAAAATAAACAGATTTTCCCATGCGGTAATATCCTCTTTTCCCACTTATCCACATCGAAATTTCCTCGGTACCCTCCCTCTCCTTTATTCTCTCACGTGTCACGTGTTAAAGCAGACAGCGATGTGTCAGGCCTCATATCCTCTCCTCACTCCTCCCTCCTCTCCTCCCTCAGCGACAGCGACGAGACAGCGTGCGGTGGGCATAGGCGACTGCGGTGGTGCGCGGCGACAGCGTCGGCAGCGCGCATCTGCCGTGGAAGCACGGGATATGGTGGGCAGCGGCGACGACGAGGTGGCACGCGACGGCTGCGTCCGATCCAGCGGTGGCCACCCCACGCGCGGATCCGGAGGCGGCGGCCACCCCCACGAGGATTCGGCTGCATGACGGCGGCGGCGGCCATGGCAACGGCCGCCCCCCGCGTGGATCCAGCGGCGGCAACCGCCCCACGCGCGGATCCGGCGGCGGCGGCCCTGTGCCCCCCACGGATCCGGTGACGGCGTCCGCCCCTCGCACGGATCCGGCGGCGGCTGCCGCCCCTCGCGTGGATCCAGCTGCGCTACGGCGGCGGCAGCCGCCCCCCGCGTGGATCCGGCGGCGGCGTCCACCCCCGCGCGGATCCGGCGGCGCGACGGCGGAGGCGGTCGCCCCACGCACGGATCCGGCAGCGGCGGCCACCCCACGCGTGGATCCGGAGGCGCGACGGTGGCGGCGGCCGCCCCCCGCGCGGATCCGGCGGCGGCGACGGGAGCGCGACGACGGCGGCATGGCCACGGCAACGGCGACGACGACGGGAAGGCGGCGATGGTGGCGACGGGTAGGGTTAGGGTTTCGTTTTTTCAATTTTGTTTTTTTTTCGATTTTTTGTTTTTGCGTGCGCCACCCGCACGCAAAAATATTGATTTTCGTAGACGAATTGCTCCAGACGGGCTGAAGCTGCACACGTGAAAATCCAAATCAACAGCACGGGAAACGATCTGTGTAGTAGTGTAGTCTCCTTGAGGAAGATATATTTAGTACAATCCTATACTACTAGCAACAAGATTCATGACGATTGAGCAAGATTTAGTACAACCCTACAAGCAAGCCAGACATGTACAACTAGAATATGCAAATAATGCACATGGCAAGTTAAAACAAAAAATGCACAAGACACAAGTAAAGTAAGGCACATGCATGGGTGATTTTGCGTAAGGGATCGAATAGTTTTCAACAATTCAAGACTTCTACAATGCAGATCAGTTTCAAACACATAGTCTAACCTAGCTAATAAGTCATAATTCAATAACATTATCTTGGTAGTGTTTGGTTTGGGGACAGGGTGGGATGGGTTAGGTCCATCCCTGTTTTTTGGAATGGGATGATCTTGTTTTTTGTTTGGTTACAGGGATGGAACGAGCACTGTTTTTTGTTTGGTTTGAGGTATATAATGGGATGGAATGATCCTATACATTGTTTGGATGGAGGGATGAAGGTGGGATGCTTGATAGGGTTACCTATTGATATTAGTTGGTGAGGTTACCCTCAACTAGTCATGAATACCACACAGTGCAAAATAATACTTACTCATGAACACCACACTATTTGAAAATGACCATTGTGAATCTGTTCGCAAACAATATAGCTCCATAGGTTATTAAAAAGATTTAATAAAACTTCATGTATGCCGATACTAATTGCTGCAACAGTAGGCTTCACAGGGCACATATAATACAAGCCACCCATAATAATAGCAAATTTTAGTCTTACACATATTAGCAACCGAAGGTCTTACACATAATAGCACATTTTAATTCTTGCACATGATAGCAATTTTAAGTCTAGTAAGTTCTCTGCCTCAAACATATTGGCAGTTTAAAGTCTTACATATAATAGGTAAATAAGCCAACCAACAACACATAACACCAAAAGAACTATCCAACTCATCCAAGAAGCCTATGTTGATCCAGGGAACTTTTCACTAATGAACATAGCAAACCAATGCATCTTGTTTTCAAATGGAAGTCCATCGAATGCTCTAGCAATATGAGGGTTGGCAACCAAATGAGCATAGTAAAATGATCTATGGACCTCCTCAAAACCAGGAAGGGTTTTCAATGTGTCAAATAAACCTTCTGGAAGCTTATTGTCCGGCTCGGCGACCTTTAGTATAGCAGAGGCAAGCTTGTCACCAACACTAGTGAATGCACCAATCAGCCCGTCATCTTCATTCTCTTGTGTTTTTGCTTTCTTTGGCTTACTTGCAGATGATGCCTCCGCACGATCATCAGTAGTGGCAGGACCATCATTTTCTTCATCATTGTCATCTTGGACATCCTCTGTTCCTAGGACTGAACTTGAGTCCTTTGCATACTTTCCTGTAGCCATGGTGCTACCAAATATTGTAAGCATCTCACCATAGTGTGCAAGAGGTTTGTTAAAATAATTCGCATCAGCCTTGTGATCCTTCATGAAACAAAAGTTAATGTATAAGCAAATGCAATAAAAAGTTATAAAAATAAAGCAAAGAACCCAGAAAATAAGACATATACCTCAATATAACCATTATAGTGCTCATCATCAAGAGTAATAATGAAGTTTTTCTCATCCCAACCAGCAGCACTCACTTTCCTAAGCCTATTTATCTTCGAGAACTTTCTTTGCCATGTCTTCAAATGGTTCTTAATTTGCTCACCCGTGAGAGTACTATTGAACCTTTCATTGACCGCCCTAGCACATGCATTGAGATGGACTGCCTTGAAACCAGATGAGGTCCTTGTGCCACCAGCAACAACATTAGCTAGGTGAGAAAGCATGAAAGAGGACATAGCTGAGGTCCATGAAGCATGGGTGCTTCCTCCCTTGCCACTGTTGTTATCCATTTCCTACCTATCATAAAATAAAACAAAAATGTCCATTCAGTAATATATATATCAATAAATTATGCATGCAACAATATATGAACTCAGAAAATAACTATTCAGCAATATATCTAATAAAAAAATGACCATTCAGCAACATATCAACCCAAAAAATTACCATTCACCAACATATCAACCCAGAAAATGACCATTCAGCAACATATCAACCCAAAAAATTAGCATTCACAACATATCAACCGGGAATATGAGCATTCAGCAATATATCAACCCAAAAAATTACCTTTCACCAACATATCAACCCAGAATATTAGCATCCAGCAACATATTAACCAAGAAATTCAACATTCATCAATTCATCAAACCAGAAATTCAGCATACAACAATACATTTATCCATACAACTAAGATTTGGCAAATGGACTACAACAAGCTGTCCACACGAAATAAATAAATAAAGAAGTTCATAATACAAATGAAATGTAGCAAATAAGGTAGAAATACAAGTTGCATAGCTACATATTACACTCCATGATGGTTATTACGGTCAGCCCACATCTGATCAGCTAAACCCTGCCTGAACTGAACCATCAATGCATGGTCATTCGCTTGCCAAGTTGGCGATTCATCAATGTCCTCACTTGACCAATCAGACGGAGCTACAAGCTCATCAATTCCGTCATTTATGACCCAGTTATGAATAATACAACAAGCTACAACAATATCTACTTGAGTTCGAAATGGGAAGAATGGAGTGGCATCATCTAGAACTTTGAACCTCCTCTTTAGTGACCCAAATGCACGTTCAACCGTTATACGGAGGGATGAGTGTCTAAGGTTGAACAACTCCTTCTCATTTTGCACCGGATTATTCCCCCACTCTTTCAAGTGGTACCGGACAGCACGAAAAGGAGGCAAGAATCCTTGTTTGGCTCCATATCCACCATCAACTAGATAGAATTTTCCTATCATATGATCGATAAGTTGGTCACATTCCTAAATATCAACATTTGTCATGGAGAATTTGATAAACTATAGTAATCTATTACCTTGTGGGACATGAAGGCCATTTTCACGTTCCAAAGCATCTCTTAAAACTACAGCATCATGTGCTGTCCCCTCCCAACCAGCCAGGACATAAGTAAACCGAAGATCAAAATCTACGGCCGCCATTACATTTTGAGTGGCATGGGACTTCCTACCACGAAAAGAGGACTCCACATTCTTACGAACAGAGGCTCTAATATGTGTGCCATCAATAGCTCCAATACAATCCTATTTTGTGTTCAACAACATTAAAAATTAGGGACAATACATCAATGTTCACATAAATATAAAATGAGATAGGAATGAATCTCACACCTTAAAGTAAGGATCCCATCTAGGATTTCCTGCTATTTTAGTTGGAGTGTCCAATGAGGGGGGTCTGATAAGTTCATCTCGTAGCTCACCAATTGCATGAAGGACTTTGTTAAAATAACGACTTACTGTTTCTCCAGACCTACCATAATTAGTGCGGACTAACCTATTTCTAAGGTTATGTCCCACCGTATGCAGAAACATAGCCACTTGTTCCTCAATACACATGTGGATGGTATCTTCAAGTAAACCACGATCCCTAAATAGCTTACAAAAACGAAAAAAACTTCCTTTTCTAAGTCTAAGCATGTCAATACAAGTTGTATCATTGAACCAAATTTTCGTTTCTAGGTACTCAATTCTTATCCTATCCCTTTCAGCCATTGGGCCATATCTAATACCTTCTCTCCTTGAACCTCTCGTTCTTTTCCTAGACCGAATAATCATGGCCATCATTGATAACAATAAATTTGTAGCAGCAATACAAACTAAAAGCTTGGTCCTCTTATCCATCTACAATACAACAACAAAAATAACACATGACCATCATCTACTGTCAAGAAATTTACCAAAAAAATTAACACATTGTTGAAATAATTATACTACAACATTCTTAAAAAAAACAGACATGCACAGATCTATATAAAAGAAATCCCCATTCAGTGTTTAGGGTATTTTTACCTTGTACAATGGAAACTGAGCTCTGCAGTTTGTGGATGGGGATGGAGAAGATGAGGATGAGCAGCAACTGGCAATGGAGGCTCGCGCGCCGCTGGCTTGCCCCTACTCCCACAGCTGCCTCGCCCTTATCGCGCCGCCGCGTCACCTGCTCGTGCCGCCGCGTCGCCCTGCTCGCGCCGGCGCCGCGCCCTGCTCGCGTGCCGCCGCGTCGCCCTGCGCGAGCTGCCGCCGCGCCCCGCTCGCGCGCCGCCGCGTCGCCCTGCGCGAGCCGCCGCCGCGCCCCGCTCGTGCGCCGCCGCGTCGCTTGGCGCGCGCCGCCGCCGCCGTGCCCCGCTCGCGGGCCGCCGCCGCCGCACCCCTGCTCGCGCCACCGCCTCGTGCGCTTCCGCCGCCGCCACTAACCCTAACCCTAGAAACGGACTCGCGACTCGCGAGGAGGAGAGAAAAGAGCGAAGGGAAAAATGAGAAGCGGTGAAAATATGTGGTGGGGCGCGAGAGTTACCGCGCCGAGACAAGTGAGGCGCGAGGCGGAAGTGGGATGGCGCGGTCCGTCTCTTTTTCCCGGATGAATCGGTCCCGAATATTGAAGGAATATTCCCTTTTAGAGCCATCCCATCCCTTCTAGCCTCTCAACCAAACACACCTAAAAATGGGATGATCCCATCCCATCCCGGGATATCCCTCCAACCAAACGCTACCTTAGGTTGTGAAACCCACGCACAACTAGGGGTGAAAGTGGTTCGGATAGTTTCCATCCGTCCGGACCATTTTTCGGATTCGGATAGTTTCGGTCGGAACTATCCGGAAATTCTCGGATTCGGAAATGAATTCGGATTTTTTTTCTCGGAAACGAAAACGAATACAATAAGGGTACTATCCATCTCCGTCGGAATCGGAAAACAGTCGGAAACTATCCGGATTTTTTTCGGATATCCACAGACATTGAGCAAATTTTAGAAAAAACACGTATATATACATAACTTTTTCATGCGGAATCAAACGGAGACAAACTTTATATCAATATTGTAGAGATCGATGAGATCTACAACATTCTTATTAACTATTTTATTATTTGAGATCATTTAAGGGTCTAAATATTCATTATAATATACCATATTAATTTTTACAAAATCTCATATCTACAATTCAAACGACATCTGATGGAGATGTGTTCCATATCAAAGTTGTAGAGCTCAACGGGATCTACCACTTTGTAGTTTATAACATTTGTATTTGAAAGCATTTAAAGTATAAAACAAACATTACAAGTTTCGAAGATGTGAAGTAAAATAAATAACATCTTCAATTTATACAATGGTAAGTAAGTTATACATCTAGTAAAAGGTCTTGGGAATAGAAAATGATAATCATATTTGCATATGGATCTCTAAGAGGAATAGCCATGAAAATCGATTTTCACATACGGTTGTGGGACCGTCTACAAAATTGACGATATAAATGTTGGAGATGTTGAACTAAAATAATAAGCGATATCTCTTACTGGATCCAGAAACTCAATTTGAGGGTTTTTTATATACCAGTAAATATTCGCTACCGTATTCGTTCCATCTCGTATTCGCTCCGTATCTGTATTTGATAATATTCGATTTCATTTCCGTATCCGAGTTTTCGATTATGATTCCGATTCCAAAAAAAAAAATGAAAACGAATATGATAAAGCTAGTTTCCGTCCGTTTCCGATCCGTTTTCATCCCTACGCACAACCTGCCCCTCCTGCCTCCAACTTGCCCTTAACCCATAGACAATAGTCTACGTGGTCGGTGGTTCCACCAACGGGTGGTAAAAAATTAACCAGAAATAGTAAAACGGACCGAAGAAGTGTTGGTTTTTTCGGTGTTTGGTTTTGCCTTTTGTTTTGTTTATAGTGAAGCTCAGTCTCTAGTTTGCAAAAACTAAAAGCCCCGTATAAACCGAGCATGCTAGCACAGTAGCACCTCTCTAGTATGGGCCTGTTTGGGGGAGCTTTAGATTTTGAGAAGCAGTTGTTTGGTAGCTAGCTTCTGAGAATCCGGAAAAGCTCTGAAACCCAGCTTCTACACCTTCTGGCTTCTTAGTTCATTTTTCAGAATCTGTAACTACAGATTCCCAGAAGCTGTGGACTGCTTGGGGCAGCTTCTAGCAGAAGCAGCTTTTGGGAAAAGCTGCAGCTGGGAGAAGCTCCCCAAACATGGCCCTAGCCTTTTATGTGCGCAGCCCACCACCTTGTTGAAGGCTTTCAGCTTGCCCACTTACTAACTAGCAATTAAACCAGCACATCCACCGTTGCCTTATGAACCCTAGCCGCCACTCGTCGTACACTCACAAAGTTTACGCAGGTGGCCAAGCAGCCTTGACGGTGACTGCGACCGGGGGAACAGAGGTGGGAGGCAGACGAAGATCTACGTAGGTGGTTTTCGGTGGAACTGAACCCGGAAAAGCCAAACCAACAATACTAAGAGAATCAATTTTTCTGGACGAGACTCCCTTTAGGTTGCAGGCCTGTCATAATTGCTCCCGCTTGAAAAAATCGCTCCCCTGTAGATAGTGACCCCTTAAGAGGCCCTCATGAGAAAATAGATTTTCGTATGCTGGCAAAGGGGAGTGCAAGTGTCCCCCCACACATTTTTTCCCGCACAATTTTTTCTCCTTCTCCTCCTTCTCAACACCGCACCTTTTTCTCTTCTCCATCGCACCTTTTTCCCACTCCCTCTCTTCATCTCTTTGTTAACACTAAAATTTGATAAGATTCTTTAGTGGATTCGGTTAAGGAAAGAGCACAATCAGTCGATGGAAAGCTTATCCAGAAGAGTCCAAGTTCAAGAACGAATCATAAGACTTGTATCTATTAATAAGGCGGAGTCAGTTAGTTTCCTTTTTTGTTAGTGTCTGATTAGGATTTGTATCTTTTCTTTTATCTTCAGGAAAGTTTGAGTCGTGTCCAGTTAGGACTCTTATCGGCCAATAGGTATAACTATGTACACCCAGGATCCCTGTAATCTATCTCTCGATCAATACAACTACTCTCGGAGCATCACCACCCTCTTTTTCGAGGGTTTTATCACCGTCAGAACTTGGCACCTGACACGGGCTGCATCGCTTCGATCTCCGACATAGGGGTAAGTCATAAGTTCCGCCGGCCATGTCAATTGTATCGGTTATGTTGGTGTTGTCCAAGGCTGCATCGCTTTGATCTCTTGGATTGCTCTAGTTCGGTTGGTATATTTTTCCTACCCGATATTTCAATTCTATATTTAATTACATTGTGTTTAGATATGCATCGTTTAGTTGGGACTGTCTCGGTTAGGTCTGATCTTCTGTCTTAGCCAATATATCTCTACAATCACAATGTCACTTTAGATAGATTTGTTATATCCATCACATTATATAAATTTATCGACTCATTGAGTATTAGATTATCATATACAATTTAATGTTTCATCAGTTAGGTCCAACCTGCTAAATTGTTATTGACAATCTAAATCTTGTTAGGCCGATAGGTTCATGCTAATGTTTCATTGTAGGGTTAGCTGATCTTATCTGATGTGTTAAATTTATCTTTGATGGTTTTACTATTTTGGTTAAATTTAATGCATCATTACCATGATCGGTGTCATATTAGCTTATTCAAATCTATCAGGCAATTATCAACCTTATGCTGCATCGGTTAGGTTTGACCTATCGGGTTGTGGTTGTAAGTTAGATTTTTTTAAGTCTTTAAGCATCAATCATTGTTTCATCGGGGTTTCAGCTGGTGAGTTATCTTGTCGGTGATATGGGCCCGGAGGTATCAGGTTTAGAGGGAGGAGGCTCCCCCGAGGGGGGGAGTCAGGCCCGAGGTAGGGTGGCGGCCACTCCTTCCTAAAGACTGGATGGAGGAGGCTGCCCCCCGATGCCACGTGGCCCTCCCCCGAGGGGAGTCAGGCCCGAGGTGGGGCGGCGGCCACTCCCTGGCCGAGACTAGAGGGAGAAGGCTGCCCCAGGCGCCACATGGCCCTCCCCCGAGGGGGGATCGGGCCCGAGGTCGGGCGGCGGCCGCCCCCTCCTGTGACTAGGGGTTGGGCTCCCCCGACCCCCTCTCTAGGTCACCATGTACGGTGGGTTAAGTGTCCACCTCCAGGTGCCCACCTACCCGCATTTATGGCAGCCCGAGTAGTCGCGCCGTGCCGCATTTAATATGGTGTGCAATGCACTCAACTGGTCTGTGACCGGTCGAATGACCGATGGGACTGGGGTAGTGCGCCTGTGCGCTGCTCGTGTGTCAGGCGACGTGCAGCCTGACATGTCCCATCAAATAGTGATGGTGAGAGGTTCTCATCCTCCTATCCCAGCCGGAGTCGGTCCCCCGCTCTGGTCAAAGCAAGGCTCCTGTTTCCCAGTGTAATAGGAGCCCAGAAGTCCTCACCCATTAAATGGTGACTGACAGGGGCACCCCCCGTGTCAGGCGGCAAGATTTGACAGGCCTCATCATCAAGATGACGTGCGCTTGCTTCCCAAGTCAAGAGACAGGACATGCATTTAATGCAAAGATTGTAATCCTTCTCCACTAAGTTATGTTTTTGGGCCCATGTGGTAACCCCTTGAGATATAAAAGGAGGTCCAGGCCTAGTAGGAGGGGGGGCTAGAGCCCCTGATGATCAACACCTTCTACCCCAACAAGGAGATCTTATAATTTCTCACAAGATCAGCTAAGCATAGGAGTAGGGTATTACGCTTCTCAGCGGCCCAAACCTGTATAAACTCCTTTTGTCTCATCACCTTGGAGGGGGATAACTCCCTCAAGATGACACAGCTTCGCTCAACAAACCCTCGAATCTCACCCGCTGCCCTCGGCAGAACTCACAAAGGGGGGCCTCACGGTTCCCCGGTGGAGGAGTTCATTCTCCGACATCTGGCGCGCCAGGTAGGGGGCGCGTTCGTGATTTTTGAGGTTCTTTCGAGTGCCGGTGTGACGAGCGTCGCGGCGCCAAAGCGGGGGAAGGCGCAGCCTCCTCAGG